CCGCTCCGGTCCCAACACTACCCAAGTATTCTAGTACACTGTACTTTTGTCGGACCAGATTTTTAGGTCGAACTTCTGGGGTTCGACTGAATCGAACCGGTTCAACGAACCTTCGAACTTTTCACCAGATTCGACCGGTTCGACTTTGTGGACAGTGTGGCCAGGACTTGATACAAGCATGTCTAAGATTGAAAAAAAAAAAAATTATGCAAAATGTTTTTTTTTCTTATTTTATAAAGAGTTGCAATTAAAAGGAACCAATTCTAATCACTGAAGAAGTTAACTTAATTGTCTGTGCTGTATTAACTGAAATAACCAATCAGCGCTGCCCTTAATTCATTCCTTAGCCATCACCATCCAATCCGAAGCCAACTGGCTAGCCTGTGGCGCATGTGCACACGAGTCGAACCTCAATACAAGGTTCGTCGAATTTCCATTAAAAGTTCGAAAAAGTCGAACCTGGTCGACTCGAACCTCCGCCGGTTCGCGACACCCCTAGTTAGAATATGGTGGCTAGTTAGAAGTAAGAAGGTAGGAGAAGCTCCTCCCACAAGCGTGATGCACCCGTTTCAAATTTCTCCGCAGTCGAAAGAAGAGTTCGCTGGAAACGCTCCTTGTTCCGCTTCAATGGATTCCCACTTGTCTCCGATCCCACTTTTTAAAGGGAAACTCCGCTTCATTCTCGGTTGTTAGCAAACACTGCGACTCTCTTTAGTGTCATCTAGAGAGACCGAATATCAAATATTATAACGTAATACCGCCTAAAACATCACTAAACCGGCCGACAAAAACTGAGACGCGCGAAGTCACCAAAATCCGCTAATTTAGCGGGCGACGTGCGGCGCAGCCAACTTTGTATTTCCGTTGTGGCTGACGTCTGTTGCATACGCAGTTTTCTTCTTGGTGTTTTCTTTTCCAGGGAGAGCTTACCGGGCGGCGCTACGGACGCGCTCCACGTTTGAGCAAGCAAAGAGGCGAGCCTACTACAATAGAGATCAGTGGGCGAAACAGACAAAAAAAAAAAAAAAAAAAGAACGAGGACAAGAGAAACAAAAAGAGGGAGAGAGAGTTGTACGGGATGAGTTTCGCTGACACACCTGCCAATAGGTGCCAACCAACTAGCCGCCTGGGTTGCCGCCTACATAGCCTGCTTCGTTGCTGCTTGCGTTGCCTGTTCGCCGCCGCGGCTAGGCCCGCCCTCCCTCCTCCCTCCTCGCCCTTCCCCTCGCATCCGCGTCTTTCTTGGGTTACCGCTAGTAGATCACGTGACCCCTGTATTCCACGTGGGTGCGTATGCAACTGACGTTGAGAGTACAATGTTGCCCGGCTGTGCCGAAGTTTCAGTTTCGGTTTGCGATTGTGGTAAATAACAAGATCGCACGAAAAATATTTTGCTTTTAATGAGACAAACGGTCTAGGGTTGTTTTGAAGTACTTTTCACGTTTATATCACCCACTATCTCAAAATTTCCGAAATCAAGCGGAGTTGCCCTTTAAGAAAGCGACCTTTGTATTCATCGGAGAGGGAACCGAGCCCCTGAAAGCAGCCTTTGTATCCATCGGGGGGGAAGCTAATCCCCGAAAGTCGTATTTGTTTCCGTCGGTGGGGGAGAACTCTAATCTCCCTCTCGTGGCTTCCACAATGCTAAGTCAAAGTAGAAAGATAAAGCAAATATGTACAGAAAGGCAAGACCCTCCTCGCGCGTTGGCCGCGACGTCACGGAAACGGTGGGACGCTATTGGATACGGAGGTGGCGGAGGGATATGGCATTCTCTTTGAGGGGCATTTGCCGCTACCTTCTTAACCTGTAACCGACTATAGAAGTAGTAGGAGGGGGCACGTTGCAGTATTGGTGAAGCCTAGTCATAAAAAGTTTAAACCATTTTGTGCCCAGCGTGACCGCAGATTTCTCTGGCGATTGGTGTGCGTGACATGTCACGTGCGAGATGGATGGTTGATTGTAGGAGGATCCCTTGCAGGCTTGCGCGCGCTCCGTCCGGTAGGTTTTATCAGATCGAAGGCTCGGCTGTGGTATATTCTAGTAAACCATAGCTAGACGAAGGCTAGCTACGGCCACGTGACGTGGTCACGTTCGCCTGAGAAGTGAGGAGAGTAAGGAGAAAAATGAGAAAGAGGCGAGGAGTCAAGGGAGCATGGCTTGTGGAGGCTACGCGGCCGACGTCATGCCCTCTCATGTGCCCTCTGGTTCGACTGGGTCGTACCGGTTCAACCCAGTCGAACCCCGAAAGGTCGACCAAAAAATCTGGTTCGAAAAAAGTTCGCGACACCCCTAGCCTCAACGTGGCCTCAACCATTCAGGATGGATGGATGGATGCAAATGGATGAATGCAGAGCTTGGTCAATGGGAGGTGCGGGCAGAGTCAGGGCGTGCGGCAGAGTCGGAAAGAGGGCTTGGCATGCTCTCTTGACCAACCAGAAGCCGAAAAGAATCCCCTAGCGGTGGTAGCGGCAAACAGTTCTTATCAAAAGTCTATGTTCGTATATGGTTTTAATAAGCGCGTAAGAGTGAAGTATAGTAACTCTTTATGGTTGAAAATGGGGTTCACGTGTTGTTTTGATCATGATCATGCAGAAAGATGTAAGAAACGAATGCGCCGCTCAACTCTGTTTTGCTCGAGCAGAGTGTGGCCGCTCGGACGCCAGATTCCCGGCCCTGGGCGCTTGGCGTACGGATCATGTCGATCGTTCCGCTAGTCGCACTCTTCCACCATCATTTTGGAATAACGTGATTGAAACATCACGTGTACCATATTTTCAGCCATTGAGAGTTACTCCAATGCAGTTATCAGGTTTGTTTCTCGCGACCACCGCCAGGGTATTATTTCCGGCTACTGGTTGGTCACATTCAAATTTCTGAAGACGCCCTGGAACACGCCCAGCCCGCTTTCGGCCAATGGCGCCTCCTCATTTGTCTCCTATACTTCCCAACGAATGGCCAAACTCTCTACATTTACGGCTCTGGATGAATGGGATGAATCAACGTTGGGATGGATGGACGTAATAGAGATCATACATAACATACTAACTCTAGAGGAAAAGGTCCGCCATTTTCCCATACATTCTGGCTGCCGCAAGCGGCGGATCATGCAGGCAGACCCTCGGGGTCCCAAACACGGTTACATCATCAGAGCAGTTTCGTGAACTTTAACAATTCACGAACTTACCGGAGGAAAGATATTCACGTTCCTTTCGAAGCTTTCTTTTTGAAAAGCGCGCAGATGTACGGCCTCGTGTTAACGCTAAACTAATAGCGAGTTCGTTTCACACGCACTGGCACCGTTCGAGTTCTCTCCCAGAATGCATCGCACTCTCAGAGTGTTGCACGGAAAACTGGACTCAAACGAACTCGCCAAATGCACCGAGTGCAGAAGACTGATGCTGCCGCCATCTATGTTGTAGAAAAGGTACCGACTTCAAACCGAAACTAGCGCCTTTCTGATCGGAGTGATGCGTGGGAATGCGAATGCAGTCGCTACCAACGTTTATCTACAAGCGTTGGTCGCTGCAACCTGTAGTTTATAGTTGCGATGACTTCAAGCAGCTCGGCTGCCGTAGAGATAGTTACAGACGGCGTAAATTTCCGCAACCAGCTGTCTACAAAGCAGCTGGTTCCGATCTTTCAATTCTTATAACCGTTTACACTGAAGAAAACTGATGATGCTGTCCGAGCACAAGCATGATCCGTTTGAGCATGGTATTATGCGTGAACCACTGAAAGGGTGCGGCTTAAAACTAGCCTGTTGGAATATCCAGTAAAACTGGGACTTTCGATTTGGATCGTCATTATAGCTGGATCAGATGATCCACCTATAATGCCTCGGTGAGGGCGTCGAGAACGAGAGCATTCTCGAACAAAATACGGCGGGGCAAGTTAGCTGACGTAGGTAAATGTTAAACATGATCATGTTGCCCAATCCTCGGGTAAAGTTACCATCTTTAGCTTTCTCTGATGCTTATTGGGCAGTCAGAGGTTTCTGCTGAGAGAGTTTTGTCGACAAATGTTAAATTTTTCACCCGCACACGGATGGTGATAGATATCTCGGGGGCCGCTTTTACGTTTGTTCTGAGCATTCCTTTACACATTGGTATATTTCAGCGTCTGTGCGGCAACAGAGCGATTTAAAACCTGCAAATAAATCACGGGTTGTCAATTGCTTCCTTCGGGAAATAGCAGACGCTCACAATTCAAGCTCGCGTTTGATTTCGTGGCCCGTGGGACGCGATTTCTATCAGAAAATCTACTTTTTTTCCGTTCGGTTCCGCGACACATCGTAGCAGACGAACCCTCGTCGTCTGCTCCCGCTCCTCGCCGGCCCCGCCGGAGCGAGGCATGACGGGATTGCATTTTGGCGCACTCCCGATTTTCTCGGTGCAGCGAGTGCATGCACGCGTGGGGTGTCAGCGCTGAAACGAACTCGGAGAGTGCAACCACTCGTGGAGTGCCGGCCGAAACGAACCCGTTCCACGCTGCGAGTGGGCACGCGTGGGCACGAGTGCCGTGAAACAAACTCGCTATAAACCATATACCCGGCTTCGCCGGTGGGGGGGGTGGGGCGCGGCTGGGCGCGGTTGAGGAATACGAAACTGCGCAACCACCAGATTTCCGAGATTTCGACAGAAGGGAAGTTAATGCAGCGTAATGAGTTTATTGCTTTTTATAAGCGTTAGAATAGCTCATAATTTAGTTTACAACGTTAAATTATCACTGTTTATATTGCTGAGAGTTTTCACTCTTCGCGTTACCATGGCAACGTTGCTTTCTTTCTCTTGTGTTCTGTCGCTCTCTTTTGCGTTCGTTCACTCGGGACCCAGGATGTCGGCGCACGGGATTTGCCACTCCTCCTCACCCACCTTTACCCCCCTGATGGACGTTACTTGTTCTTTGCCGCATGGCGATGTTTCGGCGTTCGTCTGGCAACGTGTACTTCAATCCAAAGTCAAATTCAACTTGAAAGTCGTACAAAGAGCCAATACAATCCACCTTGCATGAAAACGTTTTGAAACGCTTGACGCCCTTTCGTGTTTGTGCCTTTGTCCCGGGTCTCTGCTTCAAAGAGCGGCAGTGTATTTGACTATTGTAAGTATTCTTATATTCTACAAGCTTATGTGTTAAGCCTCTGATAAATGTATGTCATTTCAGTTTACTTAGGCGATGTAAACGAGTTCGAATGGCGAATGTCGGTGCACATGATGTCGCACAGACATTAGTACTTGTTGGTTTTTGGATTATACTCCGCTTCTATAATTGGTGTATAGTGCTGCCATAGGCACATTATGCTTGCACTAGCACTAGCTCAAAGAAAGCAACAAGAAATCCCTGTGCTCGTACACGTTCATGCCACAGTGACATAGAAATCGTGAAAGTTCTCAGCACTCCTGTGGTGTGCAGGCTAGTTTTGTGCAATGTTCTGGTGCTCCCATGGGATCAACTGTTTCTTATGCTAGTGCTATTTGTGCAGCTGAACCGTCATGAGTCGGCGCCAGACACCCAGCGAGTTCTTGAAGCAAATCATCGGGAGGCCTGTCGTGGTGAAGCTAAATTCTGGACTTGATTATCGAGGTATGATTTTCTGACTAGAGTAAAGCTATACGCACTCCGGAGTGCACTTCCGACGGAAATGGCTATACGCAATGGTCACAACGTCGTTGTTCGAGCAATGGCAGAGCGTTTTTTCTATTTTTTTTTTTTCTTAAACATTTTGTTTTGTCGAGGCATTTGGCGATATTTGCATTTCTTTTTTGCGATGAACACTAAAAAAAACCGAATGTTCTCGACGAAACTTTGCAGAACTAAATGGTGTGGGACTCCCTTTCGGGAGGTGCGATCGGGGACAGCGGGGTTGGGTTGCCCGCTGGACGCCGCGAAGCGGCGTTTACTGATTAAGTTTTGTAATTAGTAGCCACATACTGTCGCCGCGAAGCGGCGTGAACGCAGGCGGGGGGCTGTGTTAACGAGCTCCCCAGTGATACACGCGCCGTTCAAAAAGGGTGGCCCGAGCGGCATGAGCTCTCTGCGGAGTATGTACAGCCATTTCCGTTCGAAGTGCACTCCGGAGTGCGTATAGCTTTACTCAAAAGAAATGTAAATATCGCCAAATGCCTCGACAAAACAAAATGTTCAAGAAAAAAAAGTAGGCTCACTGCCGATCGAACCTGCATCCACTTGCGTAGAAAGCGGACACCTGAACCCCTACGCTATGTCATCGCTCAAACAACGACGTTGTGACCATTTGTTTTATACGAGTTTAGCGGAGTGCGTATAGCCATTTCCGTCCAAAGTGCACTCCGGAGTGCGTATAGCTTTACTCTTTTTCTAAAGCAATCTGTGATTCTCAGCGTTTATTTTTTTTTTTAACGCGTCGGATTCTTTTTCGTGTTGTTCATACTGAAGAGATAATTTGCGAATTTTGCCGCGCCTGTCAGAAACGTGCGTCTTCAATAAAGCAATAAAAATTAAACGGTTCGGAAATACAGTCAACACCCAAAATTGAGTGATTATCTCGTTAATAGCATCGTCAAAATCGAGATATATTAAAACCTTTTTGTTTTATTACAGCTTGTTGTAAAAGAGGCACGTTGATGAATCTATTCCCTAATTTTTGTCGCTCAGCTGGTTGCGCTCCTTTGCGGTATTTATTTAGAAATGTCTAACCATTCCCTCAACACTTAGGCTCAAGACTGGACGAACCATACGGTGGCAGTCAGTTCGTCATGTGACATTTCATGGACAGATTGTTTCATCAACACTGAAGCGTCTCATCGACAGTTTGTTTTAGCGGAAGGTTCCCCCATTCGTTTCATCAACACAGCTTGCGACGTTTCATCGAAAGCATCTTTCCGCCCACATTGCCTCAGTCGCCGACATCCGGATGGTACCTTAGCTTGCCGATCGGTTGGCTGTTCTAACGAGGCTTGGTGCAAGCTCGGACCTGAGACTTTAGTAATGTTTCCTCGAGTAGAGCGAGGGGTGTCCGCACGTTGCATGGACCGTTTGGGATCAGGGCTCGCGGATTTCTTTTTGCCCAACCGTAGCCCTCGCTTCGGTGAGTCCAAATTAGCTTCAGTATGCTTGCAGAAAATGAAATGAATCTAGTAATTCAATCCGATTTGCTTGGTGAAGAAGTTACCGAAATGTCACAGAAGCACGTGTCCACGAAACATAAAGCAGTGTTGACAAAACGTGTGTCCATGAAAGGTTGTCCACGAGTCGTGTTTACACAAAACGTGTTTGGACGGAACGATTCGTACCCAGAATCCCAATGTTCAGTGCTGCACTTAAACAACTCCGGTCGAAATCAAAACCAAAATAAATAACTGGTTTCGTTTGAGAGGCACAAAATGTGATCGCAGCCAAGATATTACGTCAAAAAGAAGCTGCATACTCCACTAAAGCCATTTTAAAGATGCGGCCAGCTGCTCTTTAGCGAGCAGGGAGGGGGTTAGGTTTTAGTCGAGGAACACTGGCGCAGCACCCCTGTGACGTCACGTCGTGGTGGAGCTGCAATTGATTGGTTGTACCGCCTACCGCAGCACCACGACGACGTCACATACGACTAATGATTACTGTTGCCATCCCTCTAGCGCAGTGGTCGGCAACCTTTTGGCGAAGCGGGCCGAGTCGCCGCTAAGCCAAGGCGGAACGGGCTGGACGGCAAGCAGCGGGGAGGGGGGGGGATAAATTAAAAAAAAAGCACTTGCACGAATTTACATTGACGTACAATATCCGTAAATGACAATCGCACGCTTGTATTTTGAGCCTGGTGGCTGTGTTTTTCGTTATAAACGGCCCACTCTGGCAAGCGCTCGGAGAAGGCCCAGCGGAGACCACGTGACATCCAATACAATCGTGACGTAGGTCGTCTAGGGACGAGCAAAGCTACGGCGAGGCTGACGTCGAGAGAATGGCCTAGTTGTTCCAGCCACCGAACCGGCTGCTTTTGTACGAATTTTGAGTGATGGGTTAATCTCCTATAATCTTGTAGAGGGACAATAGCGACTTCTGCGACACACAAAAGGGATTCTCAGGAAGAGGGGAGTTCCTCCTTCCCCTCTTCTCTCATCGTGGCCGGAGGCGAGACACTCACCGTCACTAGCTGTCAAGGTTCCTAGACGGACATTGCAAGCGAGGCATTAGCGACATCCACCAGGTGCTCTTTGCTAATCGTTTAATTCCTCTTAAAATTCTTTTTCGAGACTTTTTTAACAAGATATTGGCATCTTCGATGTGATACTGCTCCTTTGAACACATATAGACCAAAAAATGAGTGCCGAAATTTCGTTGTTATCCCTTTAAAAAAACAGGCGCAAACTATCCAAGGAAAAAAATTTTGTTTTGCAACCAATCTTTTCTTTTTAATTTTATCACCGGATGCGGACTGTAGTCTGGAAAATACGGCACATGCGCACTGCCTTTTCTAGAGCATACCACACACATTCTGCCGACTCATTTCCAAACGTCTGCAAGGTGTCGCCGCTGTGTAAAGGCCTGTAGCGGACAAGCTTGTCTGAATTGGAGTCTCGCAGGTCCAGAATGTCTACTTTAAGCCAGAGCTCGAATCTTCATCCGAGAAACATTCGAAACAGATGTATTATCTTGAACAAATGAGATGCAAGCAGCAGAGTGCGTGGCCTTCGATACATGTTGCACTACCCAGAGACTGATAAAACTGCAGAGTAAAGAGGGGGCTGCAAGGGTGTAGTCTCACTCCGATGTGCACACTTTGTGCACACCCTCGCAGCCCCCTTCTCCACTCCAGAGCTTTACTAGCCTCCAGGTGGCGCAGCGTGTATTGAAGGTCATGCGCTCCGCCATTTCATCTTATTCGTTCCGCCAGTACATCTCATTCTTTCCCAATAGTACACCATTGACTAGTTGGAGTACTTATATATTGAGTAATGAACTACATGACCTATATTTTCCATATTTACTTGAGTGACGCATTTTGTTTCATCAGTGTACACTGTGCAAGACACTGTTAACACTACATTGGCGCTTTTACGCGCATTAATTTGAACAAGTAATGGCGGCCACCAAACTTTACCATTTAGGTTTGTGCCTTAAGAGAGCTCTTTCCACCACATTAGTAGTTTTTGATGACACTTTTTCAGTTCTAAGAGAAAAGCAAAAACAACCGAAGGTTGCTTGTTCGCGCCGACGGTGTCATGCAGTGTATGTGTTATCTGCCATGCAAATAAACTATGAAAATTATGTTTCATGGCACCTGTGTTAGGTATGTAGACTGAATGTTTTAAACTTCCTCGTAGGTGTTCTGGCATGTCTGGACGGCTACATGAACATAGCCTTGGAGCAAACGGAGGAATATGTGAATGGGCAGCTGAAAAACAAGTATGGAGACGCCTTCATAAGGGGCAACAATGGTAAGATGTTGTGAGCCTCACGCTCACCCGGTAAACTAGGAAGATAAAAGGAATCTAAGGTTCATTCGAATTAACTCGGCGTCGGCTTTTTCTGTGCCAGATTGTCGAAGCTATACTTGGCATCAACTAGTTTGTGCTTCGTTGTCAAGGCAAGTGTAGCTTCTCCAGTGGTCTAACTCTGTCAACGCTGGCTTTGCGAGCATGAGGAAATGAGACGCCGAGTAAAGAACTAGACTGAAAGAAGCACTGCTTTTTCTAGTGGCAGATTGATTTTAAAGTTGAAGTTTGTGGTCACTGCTAGGTCGCAGCTACTGAACATTGACCGAACAGTGTAACAGAGACAAAATACAGTCTTGGAGGGTAGTTGAACCGTGTGTTTTTTTTTTTTCAGTCTTGTACATCAGCACACAGAAACGGAGGATATGACGGGACCGTGACATCAGACGGGCGATTCTTGAGCTTGCGTTTTATCGGCTGCAACAATCAATGTGGTGAAGAACTTCTTTTTCTCTTTTTTTAAGTAAATGAAGAATGTTTGCAAATGCATCGGGTTTCTGTTTCTCCATTCATCATCCCCTTCCCCAAGTGTGAACTTTGATGTCATAGAACAGATGAAGGAATGAAAGACAATACTGTAAAAAACTTAATTTTCGCGAATTTCACTACTAGAAAAATGTGGCGAAAAATTTATCCCGCGAATATATCATCCCGCGGTGACGAACACATTGCATACCACTCGAAATTGCGGAATTTTGTGCCTGCAAATCGTTCCCGAAATCTACCCTCCACAAAATCTGCAAAACATTCAGCCTGTCGAAATAAACTCGTTTATAGTGTGCGGCGACAGCCGCTTGTAGGTGCCGGAATTGTAGACGCTAGGTATTTCAGCGTGCACAGACGTTCCTTTTTACGGTGCCCATGCTCGCACGAAGGCGGACCCAACACCTGTGGTAAGTGATGTCTATGGCCATCGACAGAATGAGGACGGCAGGGTGCGTCTCCTGGACATCCAGCCCCCAGCATGCGCTCCATGCCTTCCACCATGCCAAAGATTGGTGGAAGGCATGTGCATGTATATATTAAAGAGTCGGCTGGGTTTCAGAGGGTGCTGAAGCCCCATAAGTCTCCCCCCCCTTGCTACGTCACTGGTCAAAAACTATAGGTACAAGAGTTGAGCATGTGACATGCCGGTGCATGAGATTCGACGTTGCAGTTAACTGGGAGCATTTAACGGACAGCGATTTTAACAATTGACTGTGATCGAGGACAGAGACAATATGCCATGTATAAGCCTTATAATACTGCGTATCTCTAGTGAAAAAGCTATCTTTTTAGAGCCACACATGGCATTACTCAGGACTAGAAGCAGTATACCTGGCACCATCTGGTTGCTTATATACACACCTGTACTGAACCATATTGGAACCTGCATGACTTAACGGAAGCTTCTATTCATCGTTTCCTTTGTAACCAATTTCGCTTGTGCCAGCTTTTTTCCAGGTGATAAGTATCGTCTGGGAAACCCTGGTGCTGTCGTATGTGGAATTCCCTTGATGGATTTGGAGCAATAAAGTCCTCCATGCTCGGTCCTTTCATGGGGTAGATGCGAGCACACACTTTCTTGTTGAAGAAGATGCCAGCAAAAAAGTGCTCTAAAGCCACTCCAAGTCCACCAAAGAAATTCTCCAATAGATTTGCCTACACACTCAATGTGCATTAGTGCTAAGGCTGATTCCTGCACCTCCTCTAGCCTCCACACGTGTCCGGTACGTTGACAATGTCAATAGTCGAGACGCATCTTAAAATCAGGTGTAGAAGGTGTGCACCTTATGATGACCTGGAATTAGGTAAAGGTAAGCATCAGACGACACTTGACAGAGCAAAGCAAAAATCCAGGTGAAACGCAACAAAAAAACGAATACAACGCATTCGCCGAGGTGCGGAAGGAAGGGCGGTGCGACGAGTTGAAGCCACCTAATGGCGGCCGCGTCATCCGGTTCCAGGATGGCAGCGCCCATGCGACGGAGGGTGGAAAGGTCTATCACCATAGACAGTTTACTCCAAGCGCTAGCCAACCAAATTACAAGTCATGGCTCCAGTCACAGCTACATTTTCCGATTGGCGTGCATCGAAAGGTTCAGTGGGTGATACACTTCTAGCGAAACCAACTCAAATGTTGCGGATAATTTGTACACAGTTTTTTTTTTTCTTCGGCTCAATCGTTGCAGCAACGTCCCTTGATTCCGAGTTGTCTTGAGATCGTTTTACTGGAGTAGTTTCAGGATGTGGTTGTCCAACACTTGCTGCACTGCAATCAAATAAGAGTAGGGTCATATAAGTTACTCCTAAAGAGTAATCAAGTTTCAGTTGCTCGAGCTGAAGCGCTGTTACAAGCGCAGTTGCTTCCTTATAAAGCCACTTAGTCGCAGTTACTCCCAAAAGGTGACATGGTTCTGATTTGACACACACTCATAGTAGATGGCAGTGAGAATATGTAGCGCTGCTGTAACACTATAAATCGGGGGTCAGCAACCCACAGCCCGCAGCAGTTTCATGCGGCCCCCGGCATGATCCCAGGAAAGGACCCTTCTCCCCTGCCGCCCTCTCACAGACTCGAGGACCACACGACAGTTTTGACATCAAATGACATTAGTCAAGAACAAGGAGCACTTTCGATTGGCATTGTCCGGCATACCCATACTTCAGCAGAGAACTTCTTCACTTTATGGCTTTTCTTTGTCTGCCCCCCCCCCCCCCCCCCCCCCCCCACACACACACACACACACACACACACATGCACAAACTTCGCAACTTGCAGTCCGGCCCCTTCGATGCTGGCTTCCCAACTACTCGGCCCGCCGCTGCAAAAGGTTGCCGACCCCTACTATAAATCGACGTGAATTTGTGTATTTGACAAGAAAAGCTTAAGAAAGTGGTTGAAAGGCTGCTGAACCGAAATTTGGAGCTCACAAAACAAGGTTGGAGTGATAGGCGGGACTCTGCAAAACCGAAAAACATCACTCATACGGCGATATCTCGAACGGTTGGTCGTATTTATGGAAAAGAAGTGCGCGATTGAACACGGCCGACGAGACATGTCACGATTCTCGTTCCCTTTCCTCTTCGCTTTGCCCCCTTGAGCTGGCGAACAGAAGCAAGAACGGGAGAAGCGAGGCCGCTTCCCCTCATTCTCAACTGTTAGAGGAGGGTCATGACGTCACAGTCCTCACTTGATGGCGCCCTTCTTTTCCAAAAAATACGGCCATCTGTTTGAGGTATCGATGTACGAGTGAAGTTTTGGAGTATGTAGCGTCCCGTTCAACGCTTCTGCCGCCTTATTTTGCAAAATCCAAATTTCGGTTCAGCATCCCTTTAAAGCTGAAAATGTCTTCGTTAATTTAACAATGTTAAAGTTTACTGAACTGTTGCTGTAACTTTAAAAGAATTTGGTAATCAAATTTTTAACTAAATACGGAAATTTAAGTACTTTTAACTGGTTATTAGAGCATTCCATATGTTTAGTGAATGCCGATAAACTCGGAGAATTAATTCCCAAGTCGGTTTTATCAGAATTGGGGAAAACCGAAAAAACCCCGAAATGGAGCCGCCCTCGAATAAGAACTTAAAGGCCGATGACCAGACACGAGATTCTGCAAGGCAGAAGATCCTCCTCATCATGGGGGAGGAGGAAGTGGGCAACGGTGAACAGGGTAGAAGGGGGAGAGGAGGAAGCGGGGGAAAAGTGGAAAGCGCGAACTGGTTGTCAGTGTTTAAACTTCACGAGAGGAGAAATTTTTTGTACCGTCCTCGTCGTTTATGTAATTCTCCTCTAACACGGGAAGAAAATATCTTGTCTACAATTTTATTTTGTGTTAAGCCGGACCAGAGTCCCCACGGAACTGTCTGCGGGGTTGCTTGATTTTTTATCTTCTCTTCTTCTTCTGTTATCAGTATGGGGACATTTTCAATTTCTGCTCGGGTCGGGTGCATGTTCCCTGGAGTTTTGGGAATCCCATTCCTGTGTCCTATTTTCTTCAACATGAGCCCTGGTAAGCGCCAATATTTTGCTTCAACACTGAAAATCCACATTGAAACAAACAGATCCTGTGGAAAAGAGCAGACCCCATAAAAATGTCCCTGGATTCAATGAAAAAGAAGACAAGATGCGGAACCCCAGTTATTTTACGGCTCTGCGTAGGGTTTCCACAAGTTCATGAGACCCTGTGAATGAAACTGCTGTTGTCAAAAGAAAATAGGTGAGGGGTGCAACGAGGGATTGCCTTGTCTGGCGTTCTTGAGGACCGCGAGGTCGTAGGCAGTGTCGAAGACGGTGTTTTGAGCACAGATGTCTGCACCTCCGGACAGCAGCTCCTGCACGGTTGCTGCATGGTTGCCGAGAGCTGCATACATTAGGGGCGTGTTTCCTTCCTGGAAGACAGCAGACAGACAGGCAAATTGTTTAAGGAGCCCTAAAAAGGAGTTGTGAGGCACTCAAGTGGGATTCTGAGATTGTCTACTTATCGTGGTAACTCAATCTAGGGGCTCTAAGCATCTTAAAAAGCTTGAAATTACACTGGGAGGCCGATTTCCTTATTAGAAATCTAATCAAAGATTGTGACACTCCCCTTATGTACATTCAGAGCAGACACCAGAGAGCGCAGTCAAACAACATTTTCAAACAATAATTGCTGTATCACGCGTCCTACACCCAAAGATTTGATGTTTTTGTCAAAATATAATGTGCCATGCACCTAAAAAGCAATAATAGTAACATTTGGGATTTTCGTGCGATTAACTATTTTCATTGGTCAAATTTTATGGAGGTGGTGAAAACCCGAGAATGTCGCCCCCCCCCCCAAAAAAAAAATATTGCTGTTAGTATACAAGGATATCTTGCCATCTAGAACTGGTCATTTTTATTGACTAAAGCCCAACATACAATATGCCGTCAAAAACAAGCTTCTACAAAAGCACTTGAACGCCCCTTAAAGGGAAGCTGAAACACTTCTTGAAAAAAACGAGTTAGAGGTAAATTCTGGCGTATTTGTATCCCGTGAATCTGAATATCACTTTTGTTTTCCCTGAAGATGCAACTAAAAGCGAGAAAAAGCGAAAAAACATTCGACCAGTCGTGACGTCATACTAGGATCTTCGGGCCGCCAAGCGCGTGTCGCTCGTGTGGGCAGCGCGTGCAACGGCAAGCTTGCCAGGTATATTTCCCCGCACTGACACCAGTCGTGACGTCTCTTTCTGACCTTTCTGAAAATAGCAAGAGTGCGCGTGCATAGCTTTGACAGGCGCTGAAGATGCGCGAGAGCAGAGATTCCGAAAGCTCCTAGTGTGACGTCACGCCCCGGGAAGGAGGGGCTTCGGCGGTACTTTAAAAATTTATTTCTGAAGCCTCCGTCCACCAAATTGAAAAATAATCTTGATATTCCTGATCCTGGAGGTAGAATGAAGGCCATTGAAATGGTTTTTCTCAAATAGAGAACCGCTTCAGTTTCCCTTTAAGGAGACCATGAAGTGATTTGCGTACTTGGCTGAGTAACAAAAAAAGTGTTACAAAATGGACCATCGCATCTTGAGGACGTCCAAGGGGCATCATGATGCCTTGAGAATGTGCAGAAGACATTTACGGGACATTGTGACATCTCGAGGGCGCCCATCGCACATTGTGACGTCCCAGACACGTCCGTGGAACATTAGTATGATATGACGTCAATAGGGAATTCATATGACATAATGACATCTAGAGGACACCCAGGGAACGTTATGAAACCTTGAGTATGTTCACGGGGAATTTGATGTCTTGAGGGTGTCAGTGGGACATTTGTGTGAAATTACAAGATACATAGGTCCTGAGGACATCATTAAGACCTTCATGGGACATTATGGTGCCCCGAGGATGTGTAAAAGACATTCATGGGGTATTATGATGTCTCGAGGCTACATGAAACATCAGGACGTCCATGGAACATTGACGAGACCTTGTGACATTTTGAGGATGTGTACACGACATTCGTGGGACATTAGGATGTCTCAAGGCCACCCACAGGACATTGGTACATCTCGAGGACGTACGCAATACATCCACAGGACATAACTACATCCCAAAGACGACCCAAGACCGGCCACGCCGTCGGGGAAGGCTCAAAGTTGCGCCGCCACCGAGGACACTCTCCAGAGGAGAGCGAGGATGCCCCGACCTGGTCGGCTTGGTCGGGCCTTGCGCCGTGCTGGATGAGGTGGCGCACGACGTGGGAGTGCCCACCGGCGGACGCCAAGAGCAGCGCGGTCTCGCCACGGTTGCCCGTGGCCTGCACCCTGGCGCCCCGATCCACAAGGAGGCGCACGGTCGAGAGCTGCCCGTGGGCGCTCGCCCAGAGGAGCGGCGTCAGGCCGCCCTCATCCTTCATCTCAATGCGTTCGCTCCCTGTGGCGGTACAAAAAGAGTTGCAGGGCATTTCTGAGCACAGGGCACACTCATCTTGTTTTACCATAAAATCCCGAGAGATGCGCCACCCTTGAAAGGTAACCTGCCCCCTATTTTTGACTGGAGTTGTTATATTTTCTTTTTTTAACAGCTGAAGGATAGCTTATTTTTAGTAACCATAGTGTTGGGATCAATGATGTCCTCGGCATAAATGTGTGTAGTTAACTATAACGGGATATAAGCAAACATTGCTGACTGGGAGGTACGGTCATCTTTTCTTCGTTGCCCTTCACCGCGATATTAAGTTTGACCTAAAAACAGCACTTTTTTTCCAGCTTTTCTTGATTGCACATTGAAAGTTAGACCACCCCTTTTTTTCACCCAATTTTCTCTTGATTTTAGGTGAGCTATCTTTTAGGGTATTACGGTACTCTCGTTTTTGGTGTACATTTCCATTATGAACATCTTTTTATTTACATAAGAAAGCAATGAACAGAGTGCATTGAAACCTTTCACTAACGTGTCTTTAGGTAGTGCATTTATTGCATCAAATTTTCGTGAGTGTGGTTTCGGAAAGAAACGTTTTAGCCTAAAAAATCCGTCTTTTCCCATGCTCGAGGAAGGATAAAAGCTGTCTGGTTCACACCGCTACTCTTGGATGGTACAACGCATGCTCCGATACGCTGGATCTGCTTTCGGGTGTTCATCTCTGAGAAGCGATCACATTTTTGCTTTATGTTGCGCCACCTGTGAGTGGCAGCGTCAGTGCGGGGAACGAGTCGTCTGCTTCTTACACAGGAGTTGCGGTGACGTCAGTATGACGCCAAACTCTGATTGGCTTTGATTGAAAGGATAGTGGTAGACCTCAATGCTAGATGCCTTGACGTCTACCCACTATTTCTTTCAATCGGTCAATAAGAGTTTGGCGTTCTGACATCACAGCAAACCCTGCGCAAGAAACAGACGAATTTGCGCTCTGCATAGGGTTGCCAACTGCACCACAACCGGTTGCCAGTAAGTATCTAAAACCGGCAAGCCGCCTGTTCGAGAGAGGTGGCTTGCGATTGGCCGACGAGCGCCCATCGTCATTGTGCTGACACCGCTGCTGGGGTATGCCCCGCCCTTCCCGAGCGGAAAAATTACCTCAGAAAGTGGTGTGTCCTAACCTTTCATCACGTTTTTAATAGGGAAATCGGCATTGCGTGATTGTAGCTTTTGGATTTTTAGGATGCTTGGGGCCGTAGAATCAGTTAAACCAAGAACAGACGATCACAGAATCCTCTTTAGTGCCCCTTTAAGGGTTTTACAGCATACAAATTCTTTTACGCCCAAAGAGCGTTCGGAAACACTCCGCACAAGATATTCCGTATTTACAAAGATGGTCCAATTAACCTGATGTGTAGAGAAGTAAAAAAGAGAATTAAAAAAAGAGAAAGAAAAGACAAGCATGCGACAGTTGGGACAGAATAAATGCCTTGATTCATATCTTTTTTTGGGGGGAAGGGGGGAGGGCATATTTTTTTTATGTTTTGAGCTGAACCAAGTTTACTCTGCCCTAGGGCGGTTTCACGTGACACACTTCCGGTTTGAACTCTCTCCGGATGCCATGTTGATGATCCTTTGCCCCATGTGTATCTAATTAAGTGCAGAAACTGTGTTTTTCAGATCATTCCAAGTTCTTTTGCATCGCGATCGACTCCGCTGGCCGGAGCAGTCGGGAACGTAAAGGAGCATTGGTCGGTGCTCGACTTTTAGTGCTGGTCTTTATTCAGACTTGACACGAGCTGGCAATTAAGAAGTCGGCCTGTCGGCGGCTGAAATGGTTTCTGTAGACGCCAGCCACGGAGGCAACTCCGAAAAAAAAAAGAAGCAAAAAAAAGCAAAGCGGTGTCGGCATGGGTTTATACACCCGAAATGCATCCGGACACCATGTTGATGATCGTTTGTCCCATGTGTTTCTAATTAAGTGCAGAAACTGTGTTTTTCAGATTGTTTCGAGCTCTTTGTGTTTGTCCGTCCCTTCTCGTCCCAGTCTCGGGGTTTTAGTCAACTGTTTACTTTAAGTACAAGTACATACTCGGAGAAAGCACTTCAAGTAAAGTATGAGCTTTCTAAACCTACTTTAAACAGTACTTCGAGTACAATCTACTGGAAGCACTTCCCAATGCTGTTCTCTAGAAATCGCGCGATGGCGTTCCATCCGACAGCTAGGCGGCACGAGCCACCATCTGCATTCGGAGGGTTCGGCCGCACCAATACACCCTTCATCATAGATTTCTTCTCTGAGAGGCTGCACTCCACAAATACATACACCCATGCCACCTTACTAAGGTACGTGGAACGCGTGTCTGGCAGGTTCGTTTACCATACTCTAAAAAGTGGCCCCTCGATGTCCGTCTGACAACGTCGTACGGACATCATGTTGTTGCCGTCCACGATCCTGCCGGTGGACGTGACTGACGCTCGTTTTGCTGCAGGTCGCTCCGCACCTTAACTGTCCACAAAAGCTTCTGCAGCCGGGAGTTGGGACGTGGTGACGACGGCGGCATTCACGTTTCCTCCCGTTTGTTTCCTGGAGCTTCTGGCATCGATCGCTAGGATCGCGACGTCCGACCACATGACACTCCGGCTTCTGCGACGTCATTTGTCACCGCACCCGTACTACTTTCAACGTGCGGGCGGGATGGATCGCCAGACACACCAGGCAAAGACGCAATCCAGGCACCCAAGCCTTGCCAAAGGGACGTAGGTATTACCGAGTTCTTCCGGGTGTATCTCCCCTTGTGCCGACAACTGGTGTATGCATCGTCCTGCGAGTTCAAAAAACGAAAAAAAGTCAACCCGGTTTTCAGGTCGCGTACGACCCGACTCAATTCCGAAAAGTAGGGAGCGTGTTCGAAAATTGGAAATGGGGATTACGTACGCACTGGTACTGCCGGAGTTTGCGTAGGCACGTTTCCCCTCTGGAGGTTGGTCAGGACAGTCGACGGCTGGAAGAGAAGCAATGCGAGAAACCTCATTAATGGCAACTTGATCCGCGGCGCTCTTTTTAAAACTGCTTGAAACTAACTGCTAACGCAATTTGAACGGCAGAGTTGCCTTCGGTCACCCTGCCCCGAGCATGTTGCTGCTTTTGACAGTACCTATGGTCTGTCGCAGGTCAAGAAGCCAGCTCAAGCTCCCCCCTCAAAGACCCTCACTCTTTCACGACTTTAGCACAGCGAACTTGGGATAGAAGGCGAGGTCCTCCTTGCCTCCTCTCCAGCATTAGCTCTGCTAAAGTGAAGAGGGGTGGGAGGAGCTTCCACTTAACTTTTGACCTGTCGCCGACTATAGTCACATGCTTGCAACTGCAACGCGATTGAAGGCAGCAAACTCCAGGAGCAATGGACGGAAAAACACCGTGTCCCCTGTACTTCTGCCTTCTTTTGTCCGCATCTTTGGGCACCTGATCCAAATACGATATAGCTTTTCTAACATGAAAACTCCTCCAAAAACCGTTGGGAGCGGTGGCAAGGGGTGACGGCGGCACCTCTGTAGTCTTTGACAAGGTAGGAGCGGCAGGGTGCCTCTTTCAAACGTCCGGCATTCAGTACGCGCTCGTTGCCTTCCACCGTGCTGTGACTGCGTGCGAACATTCGGGGCTCATAAGACACTGAAGCATCATCAAAGGTAGGAGGCTTGCATTGGAGGTGGGACAACTTAGGCTCCTCCCTGCCGTTCCCGCCTCTTCGGCAACTATGGCCAACCTGGCATCTGCAGAAGCAGATGATGCCGTGACTCACCAAGGGTGTTGGGATTATTTATAAAGATTTTTGTAATTTAAAGGGATACTTTAACGAAATTTGAAATATACTCGCCGTGTTCAAAAATAGGTTGAATATGATCCACAATATCCGTAAATGACAATCACACGTTTGTATTTTGAGCCTGTGGCTGTATCTTTTTGTTATAAACAACCCACTCTGGCAAGCGTCGGAGAGCAGCCAGCGGAGAGCACGTGACATCCCCCGCAATCGTGACGTAGTTTGTCTCGGGACGAGCAAAGCTGCGGCGAGGCTGACATTGAGAGGATGTCCAAGTCGTTCTAGCCACCGAAGCGGTTGCTTTTGCACGAATTTTGAGTAGCCGCCTCGATGGCTCCGAGGCAAGAGCGCTGGCCTACGGATCCCCATGTGGCGGATTCAAATCCCGGCCGAGGTGTCCGCAATCTGACGGAGGCTTATTGCGGAGAAGGCGCCGTGTAACCGAGCTTTCGGTTGCACGTCAAGAGATCCCCAGGTGGTCCAAATTAATCCTCAGTCCTCCGCTGGGGCGTGCCAGATGCCCGTCATTGGATTGGCACGTAAAACCCCCAAATTTGACTTTGACGAATTTTGAGTGACGGGTTAATCATCTATAATCTTGTAGAGGGACAATAGCAACTTCTGGGTCACACAAAAGAGATTCTCGGGGAGAGAGGAGTTCCTCCTTTCCCTCTTTTCTCATGGTAGCCGGAGGCAAGACAGTTACCGTCGCTACCTGTCAAGGTCCCTAGACAAGCATTACAAACGAGGCGTTGGCGACATTCACCAAGTGCTCTCTGCTAATTGTTTAATTCGTTTTAAAATTCCTTTTCGAGTGTTTTTTAACAAGGTATTGGTGTATCTGATGTGATACAGCTCCTTTGAACACATATAGACCAAAAAATAAGCGCCGAAATTTCGTTGTAGTGTCCCTTCAAAAGAAAAAAAATTACGGGAACCTTTTCCACCACAAAGGTAGACGACGCATCGCCAGACTCCGTCTGAATGTTGCGGTAACGGTTCGAACCAAATGGCAAAGTTTCAAAACTATTGCCTTATTAAAAAATTGTACATTTTATTTTTTTTTTTAATTTTAATGGGAAGATGGGGTTCATTCTTGCTAACTGGCGCCATTCAGCTCTTTGTATCCGAGGGCCTTGTTGTCCGCCACTTTCCCATTAAAAATTTCAGAAAATCGCATTTAACTTTTTAACAAGGAGACAGTTAGTCCTGAAGCTTTCGCATCTCGTTCGAACCACCAGCAGTAGATTTGGGCGGCGAACGAGCGTTCGGCGATGCGTCATTTATTTTTGCATTATAAAAAATTCCTGCAGATTTTGTTTCTGGGGGGGGGGGGGGGGGGGGGGGACAATGTGTATGTAGCATTTGCCCGAACCTTTGGATCTTCGAAGTGCCTACCTTGTAAGGCGTAAATGCGCTCCTGTTTGCGTCGCCCTGCAGAGCCGAGCTGCCTTCGGGCCTCGACTGCTCCACAGTCGATTCCGGACAGATGTGGGGCATTGTGCACCTCGGATCAGCAGCTCTTCCATCTGAGTCGGCAGAGAGAGAACGGATTGCGGACACGAGCGGTTAAAGGGGCACCGAAGTAGCTTCCGAGATTGTTTATTTATGGTCGTAACTCCATCTACAGGCTCGAAGCATTCTAGTACCCGTAGGTTAGATTGATATGCACCCGGTTTTCCCATTAAAAAGAAAATCGAAACGTGCAACGTGCTCATCGTTTTGCCATTCGCTGCAAAAATTGGAGGGCGCCACAGGGTGCACAGCGGCCAATCGCGAGCGATCGCCTTCCTGAGCGAATCTCGCACACTCGAAAATCAGTCTGCCCTCCCTGCCGCTCAAGAAGCGGTCGCCTCGCAATTGGTTGTCGCACGTCCGGTGGCGCCCTCTGGACTCTGCACAGCGTCACAAAAAACGGGGTATGTTGCGATTCTCGATTTTAATAGAGAAATTGGACGCGTATGTCTCTATTCTTGGGTGTTTTAGAACGCTTGGAGCACATAGGTTGCCGTTACGACCCTTTTAGTAACCCTTTAGATTGTATTGCGATTGCTCATGACTAGAGGAAATACTGGCACGCTGGCGCCACCTGCCGGGTAGCCATGGAATGCTTTCGACCTGCACATAACTAGACCGAATGTTTTGCAGTATTTGCGAGATCTATGCACCATCCGTGAGGATGACGACTTTTAACATTGTCAGAATTCGTCAAAGCCATGGTGGAAGAATGGTGCAGCAAAAACGAGGAAGCGTGCGGTCGGAAATGTTCCGGGGCTACTCTCGTAAACAGTCGCTGGCAGTCGGAGTGCTGTCGGTCGCACCGTAATGCAAATGTGTGAGCCAGCGTTTGGACACTGAATGTCGCCGAACGTTCCTAGAGCCCCGCATTCTGTAGTGTCCGTTTGAACCGTAGAACCGAACCCATGGAGCTTTCTAAGTGGCTGATGTCGGCCATCTTGGGAGCTTTTTCATTGGTTGATGTTGGACATCTTGAAGCCAGTGGAGCTTTCTGATTGGCTGATGTCAACCATCTTGAAGCCAGTGGAGCTTTCTGACTGGCTGATGTCGGCCATTTTGAAGCCAGTAGAGCTTTCTAATTGGCTGATGCTGGCCGAAGCCGAGAGAAAAGTAAGCGGAAAACATATGAAAAATGCTCATGCAGTGTTTTTGTACACCGGGTGAGTTACAAGTTGCAACAGGTCGGATGGTGACTGGCATGTCGGTTTTCGGTATGGCTTGCTCTATCAAATAGCCTGTTTCCCTCTTGGAAAGCTGGCTCTGCCAGGATTGTCTGCCACAATTCGATTTTGCCCAGCTGCCAATTTGAAGTTGGTTGCAGTACCGTGATGTGGCCTGTTCTGGAACAAAGCTTGGGAGTTTTCAGTAGTCTGAGAACCTTCAGTGGCTCTAGCATTGTCTAGACTGGCCAAGGCGGTTGTATTAAAAAAGAAGACTGGTGGTGGCTTCTGTTAAACTATTGACCTGGTGACAATCAACGGGTGTACACTGCACAACGCTGTTAGCGCAAACACGAAATCGGTGCTTTTTTACTCAAATATGTTTTTGACCAGCATCACTCAAACATGCTATTGACGAGCATAACATTTTACCGCTTAGGTGAAAGCCCCAACGAGTAATTTTCACCACACTAGTAGTTTTTGATGACAGCCTTTAAATAAGAAAAAAGGAAAAAAAAACCTGGCAATTGCTTGTTTGCATTTATAACTTTGTGCAGTTGACAGGTGACAAATACGGTTCTTGCACAGCAATTAGAAACAACCTTGGCTAAAAGCCAGTGCGAAATATACCGACAATTAAACAAACTGCTGCGAAAGAAAAAAAAATTAAAACGAAACGCTTGGCACGAAAACAACATTGGTAGATATCAAGTTTTAATGGTTTTAATGCAATCGCTTTAATTTTTTTTTTAACCATCAATCTATGGAAATTGTTGTTCATGAAGTTTTCAGAACATTTGTTACTCTTAAAAGTAAATTCTTAATTTTTTTATTACAACATGGGGACTCGGTAAAAATAACGGCGATTTCAAAGACATGGCTTGTTTATGATGCGGGCAACAGATTCCAAACAAACTTCTCCATGACAACGCTACATAAAACGATTAATCGCATCTTGAATAGATTTATCTAATCTGGGTTTAAGAAACACATCGATTTAAAAGACGTGAGTATCTGTCAGATTAACGCGCTCGTTTTCGAGAAACATATTGCATGTAAATATTCAGATGATCGATCGGAAGCCATCGCCGAGGGATTTGAATATGGTAAGATCACGCGGTGTCTCCCTTTTTGATTATCAATTTTTGACCATTGCATAACGGGATCAATGCTTGTTATATCACACGTGATGATTCCACTTACTCGACAGAATGCGTATTTCATTTGTGCATTTGGGTTGAGCTCCTGATTTTGAGCAAGCACATCAGCTGGTCTCCATCACCTCTGTTTGGATTTTGGCTTCTACAGTTGGCCGCCAGAGGCGCCAGCTGTTTCTGAATTATTTTCAGCTTAGATTTGAAAAACAATTGCCGTAAAGTTAAAAAAAAACTATTAGGAACTGTTTTCCTTGAAAATAAACGTTTTAAGAAGTATGGTATTTTGGGTATTTTGTGTGTTCCGGTTAATTTTGTTATTTTAGTCAAATTCGATAGCCAACAATATTCAATCCAATTCAATCCAGTTCGCGATGTAATGCGCGCGCGTCGGTGGCGAAATGTTTGCGCGATTGAACTTTATTTAGATAGATGCAAATTTGTGATCATTGCGCTTGCATTTACTGTGATGGACTATCTGTGATGATTCTAGGTGTTTGACTTTAACCGCGGGGATAACCTGACGCAAGAAGCATGGAGACCCAGGGTAAATAATGCCTGAACTTCGATTGCTTTAGATCTAGAAAATCCAGCTATACTTTGTTTCGTTTCATGTAAAATACAGCGAAGGTGTAGGCGAACTGATGGATTTTGATCATGTTGAAGATTAACCTAGACTATGATAAAGTGCTTGTCTGGCTTCAACTCATCGTAGCGTCGGCTGCGCTGCGTCTTAAAATGATCACGTTGAAAAGTGCCCGAACCTGGTACAAGATGGGAAACTTGGTAGAAGAAAAAAGACACAGGAAAGGGAACGTTAAAACCTTCCTTTTCCTGTATCCTTCATTTTTTTTTTTTTTTTTTTTTTCATCCGAGTTTTTTGTTTTTTATGTGCCTTGCCTTTGACTGCTCTGAATTGTGGTGAAATGAAGTCTGGTCAAAGTGAACACTGATAACCGAAACTCAGCTTTCTCAAGCGAGGCAGGCAGCCTTAACATTATTTTTCTTTCAAACAGACATGAAGATTCTGGAACTGAACGCCAGCAAAGCAGGCCTAGAAGGTGTCGACAAGGACCGCGTGAACAAGATCATCCAGGCAGCTTCGAAGGGAACGCCGTACTATGAACACCAGCAGAAGCGGCAGCAGCGCATCAACCTCAGGATCGAGTCCATGCTGGCAGAGTTGGCCCAGCTGACACCGACTCAGCTGCAGGCTTCAGAACAGAAGGTTTGTCGTCGACCGAACTGCCAGAGGATGGCTCGATACAGATTAAGTATTGTTTTTCTCAGCGAGTAGGGCTATTGGTACATAATTGTGAAAACTCTAAATAGAACGGATTTGGACATTGACTTTAATAAAAGGAAATGGATATTCTGCCGGCAGCTGGTGCAACAACCTGGGAATGAAATTGCCGCAGTTGTCCCCTATTGGGTCCCGCATAAAATGAATTGTCAAAACGACTATCTAAAGCTGTAGAGTAGCTCAGTGGAAAGGTGTCTGATTCACACGCAGCAGACCCAGGTTCAATCCTGAAAGTGGGCATACTTTTTTTTTTTTTTTGTTTTAGTTTGTCAAACATTTGGCGATATTTACACTTTTTTTTTTTTTTTTTTACAGTTATCATAGAAGAAAACAAATGTTGTGGACGAAACGTTGCTGAACTAAATGGTATGGGACTCCCTTTCTGGAAGTGCAATGGGGGACAGCGGTGCCTGGGCCAGCAGTGCCTGGGCCAGCAGTGCCTGGGCCAGCAGGCCGCTACAAACTGGCATGTACAGGGGGGCCAAGTGGGTTAATATTTTTGCAATGAGCAGCCGCAGATTTTAGCCAAGGAAGGGCGAGAGGGGAAGGTGGGGGGGAGGTGTAACATGCTCTTTAGTGATACACGCCAATAGGGGATAATTGCCAGCAATTTTTTTCCCAGGTTGTGCCGGCTGCCGGCAACATATCCCCGTCCTTAATGAAACATTTCCTAGCTTTAAAAATGATTGCAGTGGGTTCCTGGTTGGCAGTGAAATCACATTTTCATGTAGATGTTGTATTGCACCAAGAACATACTCACTACATAGTAGCCAAAATCATAGAAATATGAGTTCATTGTAATCTCACCTGAATGTTTTGTTGCTACTGTTGTTCACATGTTGTAGATATATATATATATACTCAAAGAAATATTTGCCCTTAAAGGAGTTGGTCGAGGAGGTTGCCAAAAAAGTGAGCTTGATGAAACGTTTCGGGCCTGGTAGGCTCTTCGTCAGTCAAAGTAAGAACACTTCGTTCTCCTTTTCTTTCAATCAAAGAAAAAACGGCCAGAAAAAAGAAGAAGAAGTTAATTCGAAAAATGCTTACCGTTTAGCGGGTATCTACTCAACTAAATTCTCGCTTAAAAGTTTAATATATCACGATACCAATGCAGCAAATACTATGGAAATAATTAAATATAATATTATTACTGCCATTCTTATCATAAAACCAGTTTTCGGGACATGTGGTTGGACATACGCCAACTATTAGCCCCGAGAAGTTTGCGTGGCGCCCCCTTACGGCAAACCGGGGTGACGTCACGGCGAGGAGAGAATTTTTCCCCGGCTCGCCCCGCTCGCCCTGTGGAGGCTGCGACGACGCTAGCTGTCGGCGCGCTCGTTCCTATTTAATTTTTTTTGGCGTGTTTTTCGTAGGAAGTTTGATATTTTTTTATGTGCCTTTATTGAGGTATGGCCTGTAGCTTCAGGCGAAACTTCAACCAACATTTTAAGCATGGTTGACAGGGCAGGCAACGCATGAATCGGAGCTGGTATATGAAAATAAAGAAATATGGCCACAATTGCAGGAGCATCACTATAGATTTACATCTCGCACAAAAAGTGCTGCTGATGGTCTGAATGAATTGGCAGGTTATGTATACTATTTTTTGTTTTGTATCTCCGTTTTTAAACGAGTTCGCCGAAGCAGAAAAGCTGCATGCCGCTCGGGTAACATGCTAAATACGGTCTGGACCATGGGGAGAGAATCACAAGTAAGACAGCCCAAGTGCAGGGGCAAAGTAAAAAAACAAGGAACATTTATTACATACATTGCTCGCATTTGACCTTCGCTGGATTCGGATAGTATTTCAATGGACTACACGGGTGATATCTGTGGACTTGTTTATTTCAACCCCCAAGTAATGTATAACAAACGTAAGCGAAGGTGTCTAGCTCGTTATTAGTTCGTTAAGCCCTAAAATTGAGATTTTACTGAAATCGATTTTTCCTGAAGCTAAAATACCAGAACCTTTTCTCACGCAGAATGTCGCCCTTCACGGGTTCCACATTTTGTGCTACTAATGCTGCAACTACCACTGGACAGGCGTTCGAATGCTTGCTTTTACTCCTGTTTTCATCTGTTGTCAGAGAGTACAGCTGTAGGGAGTTTGGAGGCTGAGGAAGCTTTTGGAGACCTGCAGCAGTGTCTCTTTTAATTGGAAATGACAATTCAGACTAAACGGTGTATTTTCCGAATAACCAAAGCTGGAATAAAAGTGTCAGGAAAAAGTATAAACATTCCAAATTACGGCACATTTGCTGTGCATATTTTGGGCAGTCCAATACATATCATACAGGCAACTGCGGGTAATTCGGCCGTTTTTGCTGCTACCATACAAACTAAATTCCAATAATCGTGCATCTTCTATGAAATATGCCTGCATACGTGTATAAACTATGTAATTAATTTACGAAGAAGCTACATTTATGTAAAGCAACCCTGTTCTATGAGCACTTCAAAGATGATCAGACACAGGGCCTTTAAAACATCTGCGAACCAGCGTATGCAGAGCGGCAGCGCAAAGTCGGAGTCCCGAGCTAATTTGCCGACCACCCAAAGGCCCTTGATACGAATGCAATTTCAAATGCCTGCAAAGCGGGATGTAATATTCTCCTAAATCATGAACATACAAGGAACAGAATTCCAGCGTCCGAAACACTTGCGCCAACGCTCCACCGATCCTTCGCTAAATTGCCTTGTGTCGTGTGGACGGGCGGTGAGGTTCATCGGCGGAATTGCCTCCGCCGATAGCTTTCGGGATTCGTAACCCAATTTTCAAGGTAAAAGAGACAAGCAGGCTTATAAAATGTACGGAAGCACGTCAATATCAGCCTAACTCAACGTCCTGTACACCGGGTAAACGAAGTCCAGCGCTTCGAAGAGCTTGCGGCACACAACGCCAAACCAGGAAACCGGTGCTGGGAAGCGAGCCGATGCGAGGTCGCGGAGCGGAGTACTCCCCCTGACGTCACGGTACGCCTCACCCAATCAAGGCGCGGCGACCGCAGCGACGCTTGTGTTCGCTCTCGGGGCTAATACCTGGTGTCATGTGAAGCCAATGAGAGGCCCAAAGTTAAGCGTTTGTTAATAATGGAGGTTATTGTGAAGCCTCTCATTGGCTTCACATGACACCAGGTATAGTTGGCTTATGTCCAACCACATGTCCCAAAAACTGGTTTTATGATAAGAATGGCAGTAATAATATTATATTTAATTATTTCCATAGTATTTGCTGCATTGGTATCGTGATATATTAAACTTTTAAGCGAGAATTTAGTTGAGTAGATACCCGCTAAACGGTAAGCATTTTTCGAATTAACTTCTTCTTCTTTTTTCCGGCTGTTTTTTCTTTGATTGAAAGAAAAGGAGAACGAAGTGTTCTTACTTTGACTGACGAAGAGCCTACCAGGCCCGAAACGTTTCATCAAGCTCACTTTTTTGGCAACCTCCTCGACCAACTCCTTTAAGGGCAAATATTTCTTTGAGCATATTTCTCTCGAGTGCCGTCTTTTGTTCTCAGGTGCTGTTCTATATATATATATGATTGTATTCTAGTTTCTGGTTCTGTTCTAACACATCTAACATTTACTGATGTTCATTTATAGCATCTTTTACCAAATGAATGTGTTGTTGTTTATTTTTCTTTTTGCTTTGATTTGTTTTGTTGAATTGTTGTGTAATATTTTGTAGATTTTTTTTTTATTATGCAACTATCCTGAGCTGCTGAACACTTTAGGGGGCAGGGTTTTGACAGGTACCATGCCTGACGAAACCTTTGCTCCTGCGTAGTGGACCCCCCAAAACAAATAAAGGAGACAAAAACGGTAAAACAGTGCTAAAATAGATGAAGGACACAAGAGGTCTGGTATACATACAAGGCTAGATGGTTCATATTTGAAGGTTTATAAAAGTTGAAAAAAAACACAAAACGAGAAAAAACAAGTACTAGCCGCACTTGCAACTGAGATCAGGGCCAGTGGAAAGGATTGTGTCAGTGAAGCCTTCGTTGCCCTATTGGGGAAAGAGTATGATGGTATAAAAAATTGTTTGAACCGACATTACGAGGACTAGTTATTTTCAGATGACCTATTTAATGTGCGTTTTTTAAAAATAAACCTCAGTTTCGAGAGTGCACCTTGTGTTCGTTTTTCCTCATCTCGGTGCTTGCATATTTTCAAATTTTTTGCACCTTCAAACATACGAGTTGATGTCTGTGAACCTAATATGTTATTTCCAAAAGGGATGTGTAAATACAAAGTGAAGGGGTTAAAGGGATAAAAAAGTGAAAGCCGTTTACAACTCCCTGTAACACCGAATTAGAGCGCAGCTCTTGAGGAGGAGGAGGAGGGAAGGGTACTGGGGGGTGAAGTGACCTGGGGGGGGGGTCACGTGACCTTGGGGGTCAGGTGACGATGCCGATGATGTCATCAGTGACGTCACTGATGACATCATCAGTGACGATGACGATGCGGACTCAGATGACGTCATCAACGACGATGACGATGCGGATGCCGGTGACGTCATCAGTGACGTCACTGATGACGTCATTCGTGATGATGACGACGCGGATGCCGGTGACGTCACCGATGACGTCATCAGCGATGATGGCGATGACGATGCGGATGGCGGTGAGGTAATCAGTGACGTCACTGATGACGTCATCAGTGATGATGACGATGCGGATGCCGGTGACGTCATCAGTGACGTCACTGATGACGTCATCATCGATGATGACGATGCGGATGCCGGTGAGGTAATCAGTGATGTCACTGATGACGTCATCAGTGATGATGACGATGACGATGCGGATGCCGGTGAGGTAATCAGTGACGTCACTGATGACGTCATCAGTGATGATGACGATGCGGATGCCGGTGACGTCATCAGTGACGTCACTGATGACGTCATCAGCGATGATGACGATGACAATGCGGATGCCGGTGAGGTAATCAGTGACGTCACTGATGACGTCATCAGTGATGATGACGATGCGGATGCCAGTGACGTCATTGATGACGTCACCAGTGATGATGACGATGACGATGCAGATGCCGGTGACGTCATCAGTGACGTCACTGATGACGTCATCAGCGATGATGACGATGCGGATGCCGGTGAGGTAATCAGTGACGTCACTGATGACGTCATCAGTGATGATGACGATGCGGATGCCGGTGACGTCATCGGGGAGGTCACGTGACCTCGGCGGGGGGTCACGTGACCTCGGGGGGGGGGGGGGCGTGTCACGTGACTTCAGGGGGGGGTCACGTCACCCTGGGACGGTCACGTGACCTCTGGGGGTCACACCTTGGGGGTCGCGTGACCTTAGGGTGACCTTGGTTACGCCGACGGCGACGCCGCTCAAGCCGGGAACTGGCCCCTAAGAGCTGCGCTCTAAAACATGCACAAGCTATGCCATCCTACGTGTCAAAAATCATTGTTAGACATACGTACCACGCTTCCTTATAAAATTCACCTCGTCATCTAAGATAGTCATTGCCGCATCTTTAACTGTATTAATGCCTGTTTGAAGAGCCCTTTCCGCCATTTACTTAATGTAGCAGCTTTGTGTGCATTGAAAACGTGGACCTTGGATGTGACTCCATCTGTTACGGATGAATAGCACCTTTCTGCAACGCAAGGTTGTTTACTCCACAACAGGCTTGTAGCCAGGATTTTGTTTCGGGGGGGGCCTGCCCATGACAAAGTGCTGTATGAGGGGGAGGGGGAGAGGAGGTCCCAGCAAAATGGAAGATTTCGGAGGGTGCCCGGGCCCCATGGGCCTCCCCCCTGGCTATGTGCCTGCTCCACAACATTATTTGACCCATGCTCACCGCATTGTTTTTTCATGGCAGTGGCCAATTCTAGCTTCGGCCTGGCTAGACAAGTGTCGCGATTAAGCACGCGACATCGACTTGCAAAACCCGACGAATTTGGGGAATCTGATGTCATTGTAAAGGGGTTAGCATTTTCCGTTTGCATTGCCGACAGATGGACGCCCTAGTGGAGAAGATGGAACGCAGCCGAGACCTCTCGAGAATCGTGGTTCACGTTGACATGGACGCATACTTCGCGGCTGTCGAAATGAGGGACGATCCATCACTCAGAGATAAGCCGATGGCCGTAGGCTCCATGGGGATGCTGGTAAGTAAGTAATCTGTGCCGTGAATTGACAATATCGAATTAGGGGTTTTTACATGTCGAGCTGACAAAGGGCATCTGGCATGCCCCAGCGCAGGACCGAGGATTCATTTCGACCACCTGGGGACCCTTTGATGTGCAACCGAAATCTTGGTTGCACTGCGCCTTCGCCGCATTAAGCTGTCGGATTGGGGGCAGCTCGGCAGGAATTCAGACCTGCCACCTAGGGATCCGTAGGCCAGTGCTTTGCCTCGGAGCTACTGAGGTGGCTTGCTGTGAACTGCTACAATAGTCAAGATGTGTTTTTTTTTTTATTCCTGATTCCTTAAGATTGGATTCATTAATCTAGGAAACTAACATTTTCAGAACAGTGAGACACCTGCATTCTGTAGTCATTTAGTTAAGATAAAATCAATATATTAAAACCTTTGTGGTACCATATTTTTTAGTGTATAAGTCACATTTCCCAGAATTTTTGTCAATGTGCCTTATATGACAGTGCAACTTACTATATGCCTCTGTTTTATAAGTATGCTTTTTAACTGTGCAAGATGCATGCTGTATTAACATCTTTCCTTGTTCGATTCATTGGGGAGAGTATTTAAGCTGGCTCCAGCTTGCGCATAAATTGCAATCACAATACGTATGCTGACTATACAAAGAAGTGCAGCTTATACAACCGCACGCATATGAACCAGAAAATGTGGTATATTCAATTTAAAATTAGTTATCTTTATTATGTGAGCAGAATCACGAGATTACTAATGTGAAGAACACTTATGTATTAATGATTTTTTTTTTTTTTTATGAATTGACCTTACCATAGATAGCTTCTATGGTGTTGAATTGCAACCTTTGATACACATCATGAATGTCTTCCTATGGGCCTTCTTTACCACGCACATATTTCTATTTTATGATAGCTTGTTATGGCAGGGTTTTCCTACAGTAAACCAACATAAAGTTCGCTGATTTAAATGGTGATTGGACCGTAAAAGCAAGCACCATTTTTCCTTCTTTGTTGTTAATGTTGGATGAAGAGTTGACATTTCATTGCACTTCTGGGTCATATTGCCAAACTTATTTCTTGTTCATTGTTTCATTGAAAACAGTCCACATCCAACTATGAGGCACGGAAGTTTGGAGTTCGGGCTGCGATGCCTGGTTTCATTGGCAAAAAACTCTGTCCCTCACTACTGATTGTACGACCGAATTTCAACAAGTACTCTTCAGTCAGCGCTGAGGTAAGCTTCTCATGGTGTGCTTTATTGATATATTTGCTATTTGTTTCGGGAAGATGCATAAGTTATATGACTAAAAGGAAAGAAGCTGCATAGTTGTTTTGACAAGACCCCAGCACCCATTCATAGCTTTTTATGACAAGATGAGATGGGTTATTACAGTGAAGTCTCGTAAATATGGACGCCCCCGTTCTCCAAAAAAATTGTCCATAATGCAAGTTGTCCATATTAACCCCCTAAGTGCCACTTTTTTTTTTAATAAAGCAGCCTATAAAGGCCATATATTTTTATTAAGGAGTTTCAGTCCTCTAGTATAACAGATAAAACTTAAAAAGTTTATTACGCAAAAATCGGCGGCAGCGGAAAAAAAGACGTCTACTAAAACGAGTGCTGCCATCTATGATCAGTGCCGCAAACTACTCAAACGAGCCTATCCCCTCCGTGGTATTGAAAGCTACCGAAAAATCACTGGACGAGCTGAGCTCGTCCATGGCATTTTAACCCAGAAAGCGGCCGTGAGCTTAGCTCGTCCAAGGCACTAAAGGGTTAACAAGACACAAATACATGTATTTTCCCAGCTTGTCCCCGAAAATGGTGTTCATATAGCAGGCTCCACTACTGAATGAATATGTGAAAAGTGAAAGCAGCATATTTCTCGCCGTCACACTTGTTCTTGGGTGGAAGCACTGCACCATTCTGCGCCAATCCACTTTCGCAGCTCCATCCTGCTCCAAAGTACAAGTGTTGCACCAAAACTAGCCAAAGAAGTTTTTTTTTAATTATTAAATTTATTGGGGTACATTCCTTTACTGGCCATAATGGTCTACCGTGTTGTGTTTGTTTAGATCTTTCTGAACCAATTTTATGGAGCCACCATAACGATGCGGTCATGTTAACATCAAAGCAGGTGACTCGTTTGAGGAAAACGGGCACCAAGTGGCTATTGTCATCTAACGATAGTGACCATGATTTATTCCGGATGAGGTAAATGCGGAGAGCAAGTCGTCTGCTTCTTGCGCAAGAGTTGCGGTGACGTCAGAAAGACTCCAAGCTCCGCTTGACTCTGATCGAAGTATAGTGAGTAGACATCAAAGCAAGCTGCCTTAAGGTCTACCCACTATCATTCAGAACCAATCGGAGCTCGGTGTTTTGACATCGCCAGAAGCCCAGCAAAAGAAACAGATGAACTGGCATTCCGCATAGACACGGTGTCCCATTTCGTTTCATGGTCTCACGTTGAGGAGCTGTCAAGTGGAAGCAGCACAAGGGAGAACTGTGCAAGTTGGTTGTTTAAGTCATCCGTTTCGAATGCGAAGAAAAGTAAATGCTTTAATTGTTGTTCATAAATATACCGTATTTGGACGAATATGAACGATGCACAATAGGTGTTTTGTGTTTATTTCTGTTCCCTGTACCGGTGCTTTCGAAGCACTTGTTTGGGCGCATTGCTTTGTTCTGCCAGTCTCACAGCTCAACCGTTAACAGCGCGTAGGTTTCTGATCTCCGAAAATGGGACATGCATAGGTGTTTTTGTCAGAAGTATTAAGGCATCAATTCGTTGTTTACTTATTTTTTGGAGCAAAGTGGTGCCGAACGTGGCCGCGTGAATTTCGAAATACCGCACGCATTAAATTGCGCGTATTGTAAAGTCTCGCATGAACGCGGGACCCCAAAAGATCACCCGTCCAGTTTTTTTGGGCTGAATATCCATAGCATAAAAATTAATTTTTCATTCCTTCATTTAGACATTGTTTTTATTTGAAAACCCTCAAGGTCACAAAATTACAGTCGGTGGGCAGGCAAGTTGGTGACAGTTTACCATGAAGATGATAATCTGAGACTCGGATGGAAGGTTGTCTGTCCCTGTTGCTTCCTCTTCCACAGTAAAACATTTTTCCTCCTTCTACACCTGTCTCAGATTAAAATTATCATGGTAAACCTCGAGGTCAGGCAGTATATTTTGCACTATTGCAGTTTATGTTTTGAGTTAGAGAACCTCTTTACAATTAGAGGTTTTTTAGTTTGTGGAGCTCGTTCATTTTACGGTGGTTACAGCTAGTGAATTCTTGCTACGTACGTCCTTCCGCCGAAGGTACGGAAAGTTATGGCACGCTACGACGAAGATTTCATGCCTGTCGGCTTGGACGAGGCTTACCTGGACATCACGGATCACGTCAACGCCACCGACGCCGATCCCGAAGATATCGTACGAGAGATGAGGAATGAGATTTTCGAAGCCACTCAACTCACGGCCAGTGCAGGTCAGTTTGGTACTTTTTGGATACTGAGTACTTGGGAGAAAAGAACCATGTTTTTCTCACTGCAAAGACAGACTGCATCACAAAACTCTCAGTCTCTCCCCAAATGTACTGCTAGGTGTTAGGACTGAATGCCAAAGTTTCTCAGCTTGTCGTTATCTAATTCAAAAGTTATGAGCGATTTAGGACAATTTTTAGTTAGGAAACGGGGCCTGTTCATCTCCATGTACATGTGGGCTCTGTTGGAAACCATTTCCTCATTGAAAATTGCTTATAACTTGAATCGGGTAGCAGTAAGTTCTGTAACATTGGCATCTAGTTTCAATGCCTAGCACTAGATTTGAACAGAGACTGAGCATTCGGTGATATGAACAGTTTATTTTTTTGCAGTGAGGAAAACATGGTTCTCTTTTCTCCTGCATAGCTGGTACATTGCCTTTTATTTGAACAAGAAATCTGTGAACAGGAAATTCATGAGAACAAGAAATCTGTGAGAACAAGAAATCTATTACGACAAGAAATCTGTGAGTTCAAGGGTAAAAGAATCACAAACAGAGGGGATCAAACTGATATTAGCACTCAGCTATGCATTTATTGCACTAAGACACAATATGTACAACCTCACAAATACAGGCAAAGGTGTCATATTTTTGGACTGAAGCACAGCAAGACAAAAGTTAAGAGTATCTGCTTTAGCAGGCAGCAGTGTACATGGCAAGCGCATCAAAGAAGGGAGTAATATCAAGCTCATACTAATTGTGTGCTGATGCATAGGTTATGGGGCATATTCTTAATTGCCACTGTTTAAAAGCATACTTTTAACATTCATGACACAGTTAAACACAAACAAGCAGCTGCCAATTCTTTTTTTACTGTGTTCAAAACTTGGACACTGTCATCAGTACCGCATGTGTGGTGGAATGTGCTCATCCCAGTCAAATTTGGTGTTTCGTGGTATGGACTTTATACAAAATGTGAAAAAGCACCGATTTCATGTTTGTGTACCTGTGTTTGGCAGCAGATTTTATAGACGGATGTCGAGGGTTTTGTTTTATTTAATTAAACATGTGGGGTGCTAAATTCAGATTCACTGTTTGTCTGATTTCCAGGAAATTACATTTAAAAAGTGGGGGGAGTGACTCTTGCCATATGGTTTAGATAAGTCATAACTAGATTCACTGGTTGTTTGCTTTTGCTGTGTAGACATACCATATTTACTCGAGTAATAGCGGCGCTATTAATGAACAAGGCCCTTGTGTCTACTTTCCCGCAAAGCACATTTACATCCAATCAACGCGGTGCGCATAAATAACATAGCGAATAACCAGATCGAGAACATGATTCTCCATACAAACGCAACCTCACAGATGCTATCTTCGTACGAAGACGTTATCCCTGTCCTGTAAACCGCTGGAATCATGCTGTCGATCACGGTGATTGGCAATCCGCGTGCTCTGCGGAAAAGCTAACCCTCAGGTTTTCTTCATAAACAGTGTGGCTATTACTCGAGTAAATATGGTAACAGAGGCAAAATGACTTGCAGGATTGGTGCTTCATCGGAGGAACTTAGCTATCTTGTCAGTATATTTAAAAAATTTTCCTTAAAAGCCTATGTTTTCATGCATTTTGGTAGATATCTTACCTTAATCTTTTCATGCATTATGTGTGTGGAAGTTTGTTTCCCATCATTTGGGCAACCTTGTGCCAACTGCATCCCCGGCGAAAATTAGTCCACCTCCAGCTGGATTATGGAACTGAAAATGAGGCAGTCTAGCTGGACCCAGCTTGACCCAGCTGGAATCCAGCTGGACTGCCTCATTTCCAGTTTCATAATACAGCTGAAGGTGGACTGGTTTTCGCCTGGGATAACGTCTTCCCGTGTACCCTTCTCGTGCAAGTGTAATGTGAGTGAATAGTGTGTTTGTTCCTGACACCAGGGTTTTTCTTGACAGGAATTGCTCCGAACATGTTCCTTGCAAAGGTGTGTTCGGACATACGCAAGCCCAACAATCAATTCAGGTTGCCAAACGATATCAACGCAGTGCGGGAATTTGTTCGATCTTTACCCATACGCAAGGTGATACATTTTTTTGACACTGCTTATATTTTGGCCTCTAAGTATGCCATAAAATCCCGAGCAAGCGCCTATTTTCAGTTTTTAAAAGCGCAGAAGCCTTTGTTTAAACGCCGGTGTATTTGCAGCCAAACTACCATAATATCTAGAGAGAAAGCCCTCCTAAAATCGAAAGCAAGTCGAGTGAAAATATGGAGTAAGCTAACTTTCTTTGTGTGGTCAAAAAAAAATTGAAAAAATGATATGTTTAGATTATGTGACCTCCATAGCTTGAGATTGCAAGGAGGGGGCAATGAATCAAGACAGCTGTCCTTCTAAGTCAGCAATGTTCACTTATCTCTTGTTGTGGTTTAGTAATACCATTTCTGCTAAGGTCACATTGGCCAGGGCCCTGCAATTACTAAAAGTAAGTTACCTTGTGGTGTTTTGGAAAAAGTTGCAAATCATGTCAAAAATAGGGGTGGGTTATCTTTCGGGGCTGGGGCATCTTTTGGGATGTTATGGTTCCCAAACGTTTGCACTATTGTGGCCAATTTTTTTTTCTACAACAGAAATGCAAGGCCTCATCTGTGAGACAGACTACCTTCCATACAATTAATTTTGCTTCTCTCGTCAATTTGAAATCAGTCGCCAGTGGTGGCATCTCGAACAAGATACTGACCCCTTTTGGGTGGTTAGTAAGTAGGCCGTGTAATGATTTGCGGTTTTATATGTCATAACTAAAACCACTCTGAATCTATGGGAACACTAGTACTATTTGTAGAAATGGCAGTTAATCTTTAGATATTGGTATTAACTTGAGAACATGGCCATGGCATGCACTCTGCGGTACTCATAACCTTTACCAAGTAGCAACTCAATCAATTTATTGTGATTGGTACTTTTACAATCCCCTCCTGCATTCTTTCTAATGTCAGTGGTTTTGACTTCCTTGCACTACACTGAAAGGCTTTATTTGTTGACAACTTGATGATTGGAGTTCCTGTTCAGTGAAAGCTGGACATACGAAGAAAAGATTTTAATGTGATGGGTGAAAGCACGAGACTGAACATACTCCATAACTTGGTTTATTAATTTCATGAAAGAGAGGAGAATAAGGTAACTTGTGGGGGAATCTGATGGGATGCCATGCTGCATTATCACAGAATGTGTTATGGGGCTGCGGGTCATGAGAAAAGCCACACGCTTGACCGACATGCACGTCATGTGACCTCATGATGTTACTTGACTCCAATGTGACTTGACTTGACATCAAGTTAGGCTGTCAGGTGATGTCATGGTGTCACGTGACACTATGTCATGTGATATTGCCGCGTGCGCGACCAAGAAGGAATGCCTCTCCATACTTATGGAAGATTCAAGTTTACTCTTACCCCAAGTGCAGTGGCATAGCCAGGAATTATTTTGGGGGGGGCTGTGGTAGCTAGGATGTTTATGACTTGGAGCGCGGACTTGGGGAGGGGTGGTCAAAATACATGTGTATATTATAGGGTTGACTGGGTTTGGGGGGGAGGGAGGAAGAGGAGGGGGTTTGGGGGGGGGGGGCAGCAGCAGTTGTGGCTGAAGACTTATAAGGCTTCCCCCTGACTGCGCCACTGCCTGAGTGTAAGAGATGAGGAGACCAACATTACTTTGCCGAGTCAATCTTGCCCTAGCTCACTCGTGAAGATTCTAGGTTGAATATTTGAGATACCAAGTGCAGTAGGTAAGAGACTGAGCATGGCCTTGCCAAGTCTTTCTCACAGTCTCGTTGTTTCTTCTGTTTTTGCCGCAAGTTCGCCGATTAAACCTTTATTTTCAGTTCACGTTCGTCGAGCCTTTTCCATCCGCGACAATGTCATGATGTCGGGTGACTCCCTGACGTCACGTGACTCAACATCAAGTTCAGGCGTCATGCGTCAACATACACACACACGCATCATGTGCTCAGCTTGTTCGCAGCAAATTTCTTATGTGTCCCTGACCGAGTTTACAAAACATGATCAAAACAAGCTTCAACTTTGATGTAGGTTAATCGATAAATGTCTTAATTGATTATTGGTCTCCCGACAAGGTCCCCGGCATTGGAGCTGTGCAAGAGCAGTTGTTAAGAGCACTGGGAGCACAGACCTGCCACGACCTGTGGGTGAAAAGGGCGGCCATTGGGCACCTCTTCGGCATGACATCGGCTAGGTTCTACCTCAGAGCTGCGCTGGGACTCGGCTGCACCGAAGTGAAGTGGTGAGTCTGCTTGAGGACTTGCTGCATATTCGGTGTGGCTTCTGTACTCGGCGTCAACTATTTTGTGCCACATTGTTGAGGCTAGCGAAGCTTCCACGGCACTGCTGCGAGAGCACGTAGCCTCATCTCGCATCTCGTTCACGTGCACCGTCATGCGAATTAGACGCCAAACGAAGCCAATCACTGGTGCGAGTAGCTTTGCAGCGTTGCAGGGCTGCGGGAGCTACACCAGTCTCCATGACGTAGCACAAAATAGTTGGCACCGAGTAGGGAGTTTTGTTCGGGATTATATACAGCGTGGTTAGATCTTGAGCTGAGTGTGTGGCTCTATACTGGGTAGGACTTGTAGAGTGTTCCATTGGCATAGCCAGGAATTATTTTTGGGAGAGGGGAGTTTGGACCCCCCGAATTGCCTCCCTGCCTACGCCACTGGAGAGTTCTACTAAAAATTTTCTAAGAGAAAGAATTTGATGAGACTAAATCGGAGTTTTGCTGGACATTGTGTAGTGCTTGTATAAAGCTTTTAGAGATAGTTTGGCTAGATTCCTGCTCAAACTGATATGTAAAGTTCTGTCTGATATTACTTATGTAAAGTTTGGCTAGTATTTGTTAGGGCTTATATGAGTCTTTTTTTCGTAGACATTAAGGTAGAATTTGTGTAAGGTTTTTCAGAGATCACATTGCATCTGGCTAGACTTGAGTTCCTAGAAGGAGGTGTATTAAATTTCCTTATAGGGACACTGACAGGGTATTTATGCTTGCCAAGGTTTTTATTTGTACGTAACATATGAGAGCCCAACCACCCAGAGCACAATTTGCGGTTCGAAATCCGTCTTCCTTCCACCCGAAAACCACCGATTGAGAACTGGCCGGTTTGAGTTGCACTCGCTCTCTTCTCCGTGGTCACGTGCCGTTTTCTATGGTTTAGACACAACCACCAAAGGTATTCAAAGTTGTGGGTCATTGAGGGCACACACTCAATACTAAAAACAGACAAAAATATAATACTCATGTTTTGTGGCTTCTAAAAAGCTGCAAATACGTTGATTGAAAAAAAAATAAGTTCCACAGTCACGTGACTTCCAGTAACTTTCTTCTTCTCTATATTTCTTCTTCCTCCACAGTCCAGTTCCGGTTTCAAGCAGATTCGTATTTTGACTTTATTAAAAATATATTTAGCACTGTAGGGAAATATTGATTTGCTATAATAAATTGCATGGCAAAAGATTAAAAAATATTTTTCTGGGTGGTGTCAGTGTTTCTTTAATACATGGCAGTCATTTGCACTAAATTTGGGAAATGCAATGCTTAAAAGTGGGTATCTGTGATGCGCAGTAATGCCTGATCAAAGGCGCACAATTATTTCAGCGATTCTGCTCGCAAGTCGAAGAGCGTGGAGGAAACATTCTCCGAGCTCAGTTCCCCGGAGGCCCTTGTTTCCAAGTGTGAAGAGCTGTGCGAGCAACTGTGCGAACAGGTCGAAGACGACGGGATTACGGTGAGCTCAGCCTGCCACCTCACTTTTTTAAGGCGAGAGCCTTCTATGTCTCATCGTTCATTCGACGTTCAAAGTCCTTGAGCGAAAACACGTCGGCAACACAAGAGGTACCAAAACGAAAGCGTTTACGTGTCCACTCAGGCGAATTAGAGGCAATGAAATTAAGAAGGATGACAAAGCGAATTAAGAGGAATCAAAGTGAATTTAGAGGAATTAATGGGAATTAAGAGTAATCAATGGGAATTACGGACTATAAAGCAAATAATGTGAAAAAAGACAATGTGAAAAAAGAATGTGAAACAAAGTAAATTATGTGTTTGTCTTTAATGCATCGGCGCTCTGGCTTTTGCCGTCAAGTCGTCTTGGGGATAACGTAAGAGACCCTGTGAATTTTTATACAGTGTTTTTTTTATACTTTATGTTTTTACTTCACCTTTAAGTCTGGTTCACAGATTTGTATTTAAGTGTGATCAAGTGTCTTGTAAGCGCTTGCGACAACAAAAGAAGACAATGGCGCCGTCTATCAAGTAACCCTGGAACATTTTCGATCTGCGTATGTAATTCCTAATCGCATTTCATTACATATTCTAGAAGGTAAAAAAAGCTTAGACATGCTGAAATCTAGACCGCTTGTGACAGATTGCTCAGATCATTACTGAAATTCCTGGATAGAAGCGCCGAAGGACAGGGACAGAGTGAAAGAGGTCCTCCTTCACTTTGTTTCTGTCCTTCGGCGCTTCTATCCAGTCATGAACAAACTAGATGAACTGAACATTTTTCTGAAATTTCTATCTGCAGGGCAGAGTGGTGACGCTCAAGATCAAGACGGTGGCGTTCGACGTGATGACGCGGAGCGTTACGTTGGACAGTGCTACCAACCGCATCGAGCCGATCAAGAAAGCTGCGCTTCGTCTGTTGCGACAGGAAATAGCCGCAGCCAAGCCGGATTGTCCCCTGCGGCTACGCCTGATGGGTGAGAGGCTTGATGGCCATCGGCATTAACGGCACGTCGGTGGTTGGAACACACGAAACGAAACGTGCTGACATGTTTGGTATGGCTGTTTGCAACAGTCAGTTTGTCCACTCTACACTAAGTCTACAAGGGCTGTAAGACAAAATGAATTTAAGCAAGATGTGTTTAAATCTTTGTTTTTTCCTTTGGCCACATTAAAGGGGTCATGAAAAGGTAACTTGTCTGCCGGACCTTATTTTTATTGCGTTCGTTAATCCACAAAGACGTCGATTCCCAAGTATTATAAGGAAATAGTGTGTCTAAATTTTATAAACAGTGTTTAAAAATCCTGTCTTTTGGACTGCCCGATACGACTGTATGATACCTTGTGGCAGCATGAGTAACGAAACGACGCGATAGCTAAGTGAACAGATAGTCAACTTTATTTTATCTTCAAATAATAAATTGGGAGCGGTGAAAATATTAGTTATTCATTGGCGTCCTTGTGTTGGTCGTGCACCACTACATCACGTGATTGTGGTACAGTTTCAACTTCAAACAGATTCGGGTGTTCTATCGTTTGGTAACCGTCGTAACCATGCTGCTCGTATACCGCGGTTAGCATTCATTGTTGAATGCAGTTCTGGAACTTGATTGTAGATTAGAGTTATAATAAAACATAAAGCGAAGCAATAAAAAGGAAGGATTTAAACCCGAAAGTCAGCAAAATCAGTAGCAAGGAGGGACATGCACGCACGACCGCTCAACGATTGTCACAAACATCTTGGGCCGCTCATTTTCACGGGTGTAGTCCTAGGACGTCATAGTGAGTCTCCTGATAATCCTTAATCGCAATCTTCCTCTGCAGTAACTCGACGTGCTGCTTCTCGAGTACGCAGAAGCGATTCGTTTCACTTATGTTTACAGCCTTCTCGTCCTTCTCTTGCAAGCGGATCGGCAATTTTGTGGTCGAAGTGAGAACACACTTGCAGCTCGTTATTTGGTGATTGTGTCGGGGTGCGGCTCTACCAATCAAGGCTGCAAAGGATTCTCTCAAGCTCTTCTTTGTTGCATCAGATACAGCAGCACAAACAAAGTGTGATGCTGGTGTATGGGTGGAAATCTAAAAGCTAATTGCTGACCCTAAAATTCGCCATCAAAATTAGAGAAAACAAAATGCTTATTTTTTAATTAAAAAGTTGATCATTAAAAAATTATAGCAGATGTACTCTTATTGCAGTGATAGGAAATTAAAGAACCGGGGTAAAAGGCACTTCGAGGAAAAACAAGCCGGGGCACTGAGTATGACCTCAGAACAGGGGTGGAACGGCTGCACCATTTGCGCCATTTTGTGCCAAATGCATTTGTCTGCGCCATCTTGCGCCATTTTGCGGAAACTGCGCCACAGCCAATACCTCGTGCCATTATGCACCAAATCGTAAAACGTGCGCCAAAAAAATTGTATTTTGTCTTGGTTTCGGTTTCTATCAACTCGATTGGCAACAACGAGCGAGTTTAGCTTGGTCGGCCTTGCAATCCTTTGTTCTGCGTATCCCGAGTCGGAAGCACACGGAAAAACTCGGGGGTCGGATTCCAGGCACAACACCACCTGCGACTGGATTGTTATTCTTCAACCATAAGCGGCTAGGCAAGTCGGCCGAGGTGAGGTCGAGTTGTTAAGCGTCAAATTGCCGAGGCTCCTGCGGCCCAGGATCCAGATGTCAGCCAGTTGAAAACAAGCAAGCAAAATATTCCTTTTAGTTCTTCATCGTTAGAAGTTGGAACCGCATTCCCGCAAGATAAATCGTGATTTGATAGAACTGAAACGCGGTCCTATCCGAAACCTTGCCGGCCAGCAGCTCTTACGCGAGCGGTAGATCTGCTCGGCATACTTTAACCTTGCTCCTGCTTATTGCTTCGAATACAATAACTCCGTTATTCGTAGTCTGCTGTTTCAATATTGAGTTGCACAAATAGGATAAACACGAAATTTGTTGCCCTCTTCCTCCGCGCAACTGCACGTCCGTTGCTTACGCACGTCACATGGTTCGCACATATAATTACTATGTCGAGCACTTGAGGGTTGTGCGATAGGCAGTGCTGGTTTGCATTTCGAGCAGCTGAAAGCCACTCAGAAAATATCAAGGACACTATCTTCAGAAACATATCGTACTTGTTTTTTGATTCTCATTGAGGCTCACAAAGTTTGAAGTTTTCGCATCTGTTACGCTGTTATCCCGTCTACTTAGGTTCCTGACCACTCATGTTCATCTGTGCTGCTAAGCACAATTGAAATTGCTCCCGTGGTTGTCTAAGACACATGCTGAAGTGCAATGAAAACTGATCTGAGCTGCTCCTTGCCTGCTCCAGAATGTAGTTTTAGCTGCTCCCAACCTGCTCCAAAACACCTGTATCAGCTGCTCCCGTGGCTGCTCCCAAGTTTCCACCCCTGCAGAAGCAGCACATCCTCAAGTGTATTCAGAGAAATGCAAGACCTCTGTTCCGATAAAATCAACTTGAGCGCCGAGAACGACCGCTCCACGCTGTCCTGTGTGGATGATCTACCAAGGGCTACTTGCGCTATAATGTACTGTTCCGATTGGCATTCCTTTCATTCTTTCTGAAATTTTAACATTCGTAGCAAGGCTCATTATCCAGCATTTTGAGCTATGTTCAGTGGGCCTTGTTCACTTTTACTCAAATGTGGATGTGCACAAACCTCAGCTTCTTTTTAGGGCAAAGCTCTTTAGCCTTGTCCATCCGTCCGGCGTTTGTGCTTACATCGATTGCACTGCCTCCAGGATCGGCCCACTTTAAAAAAAAAAAAACGTACGCCCGCACGGGGGTTTGAACTCAAGATTGCTTGCTTACGAGGCAGACGTCTTAACCACTACGCTACACTGCAGCGTTGCATGTAGCCGCTCAACGTCTATACAGGAGAGGGCGCTGCAGTCAAATGCGTACATAATCGCGTTAAACTTTGCATGCATTGGCTCAACGTTTATAGACGAGATGCATTCCCACGGCTTTCAGTGGATCCAAGCTGATCCGCTAGAAGAGCCACTGGCTCTGTCTTTCACCGACCATAAAACAGTAATAATGAAGTCGAAACGCAACCCGGAACTCGGCACTAGCTATGAGCAATAAAAAAAATCAGCACCACCAACACTACCTATGAACAATGTGTGTGTGTGTAAAACGTTTGATGAAAAAAAAAAAAAAAGAAGTGGTCGCCCTTGCACGTGACTTCTTTCTCGGGACTTTCCCCTTAGAAAGCCCCCCCCCTTCTAAATGTCCTGACTTAGGTTGCTCGACATCGTATAATCGAGCAGTGTCCGTAAGATTCGGACTCGTCTTTCAGAGTCGCCAAATGGCCTGATCCACTCCTCGTAGGAGGTAGGAGTGTCTTGGCCCAGCTAGGCCCAAGCATCGCTTCTGTGTGTGGCGAGGGCCCCACATTCCCAAATCAGGTGGTAAAGTTTTGGGAGTGTGCCGTCTCCTTAGCATAGTTGACATCTTTGGTCGGGGGGTTCGTAATCAGGGTTCAGCTTGCGTTTCTTGATGGTCTCAAATTTTTGAGTCATATATGGTGTTGTTGCGCCACCCGTACGAATTCGTCGTAATATCACCATTTCGTTGCGTTTGAAGTGGTTCGGTGGAATGGGATTTGGTTCGGGGTTCCAGGATTCTTTTAGTCAGTGCTTCCATTCTTTTTTGTGCATTCGTAGAGCTTCAACCGGGTCGTATGTTGTATCGGCAGTTTCACTGTTAGTCGATGAGGGGTCGGATTCTCCGTCGACTCGCGAGGGGTGAGGACTGTTTAGCTCCCTTGCGGCCGCGTCATGCGCCGCCTCGTTGCCGTGGATGGCCGTGTGTCCCGGGATCCATCGGATGCAGACCTTTGTTTGGTGTACACGGAATAGGTGCAGAGCCGTGTGGAAAATGCGTTTGATGGTTCTGCACGTCGTGGCTCCGTGTCTTTTGCATTCTTGGATGACGTACTGCGAGTCCGTAAATATGTATAGTTGATTTGTGTCGTGCTGTCTTTGTGTCACCTCCAGGTGTCTTAAGTGGCTCTCTATCGCGAAGAGCACTGCCTTGGCTTCGGCGAGTTCGGGGAAGTAAGGATCGGTTCCTCGTGGTTGGATTGTGGTCGAGATCGATGTCCCCATTGGGTTGTCTGTAGAATAGAAGATGGCGGCGGCTGTCGTGGCAGTCTCTGGGCCGGCGATTTTCATCGCCGCGTCAGTGTACGTGACGGTGATGGACGGGTCCGCCAGTAACGTTCAAACTTCAACTGCGTGTTTTCGCGCGTGGTGTTCCCTTCGTTTAGCGTGTTTCTGCGCATCCATGTTGCGCGGGATTGGCTGGGACTGTGTGAGGTCGATGAGGTCCCATGGGGGTGCGGGTGGTGGGATGTCCCCTGTGAACAATAAAATCAGTATCATCAGCACCAGCGCTTCGCCCCAATCAATGTCATTCACCACGTGGACATGCGGCCTCTTTTTTTTTTTTCTTGAGGAACACTTTGAGGTCATACTCTGATTCCTCTGGTGGTCGGAAGGTGCTGGAATACCCGGACTTTCCTCTTGAGCTGAAAACCGCTGAGAACATATTTTCGGTTCCTCTCCGGAACAAAATTTTAAATAACATTTTGATTATGTTTTTGTTTTGCCTAAAAATATTGTTATATTTTGTTTTTCGGTTTTGTTTCTGTTCTGTTCCGTCACTCTGCTACAAACATTGCTGATTGCCACTGAGGTGCCATGCCGGGACTAATCAGATCAAGTAGTGCGAGCCCTGAGCAAACATGACGATGGCGGCACAAACAATGCAAAAGAAAATCTAGCCAGTTGCGTAGCTAGGGAAGGGACTTGTGGGACCACTGATCTCTATTACAGTAGGCTGGATAATGGATTGGGACGCACCTATGGGAGAAATACACAAAAGTTGGAATATTGAAGCTTCTATGCGATGCTTAAAGGCGAGTATTTGGCTATGTGCTGCGATCATTATGTCGGGTGTTTGGACATCAAATTGGTATTTTTCAAGCGTTTGAACACCGATTAAACAAATCAAATCACATTGAACAAATGAACGACACGCTCCGAGTTGTAGTTCGTCACAGAAACCCTCACCGCAGTTCAAAGCATCATCTTGCACCAGAAGTACTTTGTCCATGCACTGGAAATGACGGAAACGCCCCTGGTAAATGCGTTCTAACTTACCGTATTTTCGCTCGTATTACCCGCCCCTGCATATAACCCACACCCCCAACTTACGACTGTTAGAAAAAGAAAAAAAAGACCTCGCATATTATCCGCATAATTACCCACGGAAAGCAATGTCAAAGTCACCAAAAACAGTACCTTTATTGGAACATTACTCATCGCTGCAGTCACTGCAGCTATCAGTTCAAGAATCTTCATTGTCCCAGAGAGCGTCGTCATTCGTGCTGTCCAGGCGATTGCTGATACAGCACTTCCTAAAACTCTTGCGAATCATCTCTGCAGGAATCACCTTCCACGTGTTGATAATCCACTTGCAAAGTACTGCTATGTCAGGTTTGTGGATCCGGCCAGTCGGCGTGAGGTCGTACTGCTCCTCGGCAATCCACTCCGTGTACATGTGCTTCACATGCGCCTTAAAAGGCTTGTTCAAGCAAACATCCATCGGCTGAAGCACGGACGTTATCCTGCCTGGGATCATGACGAGGTCCGTCCTGTCATCTGCGAAACGGGTCTTCACTTCCTCGGTGTTGTGGCCCCGGAGCGCATCCAGCACTAGCATGGACCTCCGCGCTAACATCTCGCCCGGCCTGTTCTCCCACACGGTTTTCAACCAGTCGACAACAAGGACAACAGGAGTTGTCCTTCGCACGCACAACTATCCCGGAGGGCAAATCAGTGGGAAGCGTCTTGCGCTTAAAGATCACATACGGCCGTATTTTCGTGCCGTCTGCTAACACGCACAACATCACTGTGCAGCGCAGTTTCAAGTTGCCGCTCGTCAAAATGCTCACCGACTTGGAGCCCTTTTTCTGAAGAGTTGTGTCCAGTGGCATTTCAAAGTACACAGGAGTTTGGTCCGCGTTACCAATCTGCGAGTACAAGTACTCGTGTTGCTTTCGGAGCCCGATCACGTAGCGCTAAAGGTTCACTAACTTCTCCTCGTAGGCGTCAGGAAGTCGTTGGCATAAGGTCGTCCGCCTCCATATGGAAAATTCTTGGTGTTTCATGAATCGGTGAAACCACCCGCGGCTGGCACGAAACTGATTGCGCGGTATGCCGTCTTCTCTTGCCAGCCTCAGAGCTTCGATCTGGGCCATCTCTGTTGATACGGCGTGGCCACGGCCTCTGTTCTCCTCAATGAACACCGCCAGCTTGGTTTCGATCTGGGGGTAGGCTAGTTTTGGGACCATGGAAGGACCTGCGGCCACGTCTTGTACTTTGAAGATCCTGCTTCTTTTCTCTCCACTTGGGTATACAGGATTCGTCGACATCATACTTTCGGCCTGCCGCACGGTTCCCAAAGTCTTTGGGAACACTGATTATTTTGAGTTTCTGCTCCGCCGTAAAGGACTGCCGCCGAGCACAGCTCATGTCGAACGGAACGGGACGACCAAGATGGCAAGATTGACGTTTCTTGCTTCGTTCTCTCTTCGTGGGTGTGCAACCAGTCCAGCGTTTTGGCGCGCAGACAGTGCAAAGATGGCAACTCCAAACAAAGAAGATAAACAAGGAGAGGTGGGAGAAAGTACCGAGGAAGCAACGGCTAAGAGGGATTCTGGGGAATTCACGTCCCTACGGACCATGCGGCTCGGCGAGTACTGCCGTGAAGCGACACTCGCGTCCAAATTCGCGTATTACCCGCACCCTTACTTTGCCTTGGATTTTTTTAAAGTTTTGATGCGGGTAATACGCGAGAAAATACTATCGCCTGCTAAGCTCTGTTGACTATGAGGTCACGAACGACTCCAGGTGACTCTCGGCAACCCTTGTCTCGTTGAACCATGTTACGGTTTATGCCCAACAAAGTTGCAACCGTCGACCCTTAGTCACAGAGCATTTATTTTAAAAAAGATTGGTATTCTACCGCTTTTAATATTTGCGCCCAGAATGTTAACTGTCATTCGTGGAAAACACGACAAAAGTTTCATTGTCGAGAACAACCTACTAAGGTGAAATATTGCAGTTTTTCTCGTTTCTTTCATAGAGTCCCATGCATTAGCTGGTGGCGAGCGGTGGTTGCCGATGGCGCCGCTCAACCCTAGCAAGACAAGCCTCGATCCACAATTCGACCTACATACTACAATAGAGATCAGTGTATAAGACTTCAGCCCCCTCTCCCCGGCACCCCAAGTCATGGAGAATCCACCCACCTCAGCCCCCCTTGCAAAAATGTATGGCTACGGAACTGACTCCAGCAAACAATATGCAGCATTACAAAAAAAAAAAAAATAATACTAATATGGCTAAACAAAAAGAAGAAAGGTGACGCCAATTTTACATCCCCCCGACATGGCGCTTGCAAAGGCGACTTTGATTTACTCGCAGCTCTGCCCACATCCTTAACTAAAAATGCAAACACAAAAAGAAAAACTAGCACAAAAAGAAATGGTAAAATCCTCGAAGTGCACACCGCGAAACCTTGAACACGACTGAAAGAAAAAGGACCGTGCAAGTAGACCGTCACTGCGCACTGACACAAGATGACTGCGATTGTGAAATAACCATGAAGTGTTGCTCGCAAATGGCGCCACGGGATAGATAGTGAAATCCATCGGAAAAGGCGATTTTCAGGCTTTCACCGGAGTATGAACTTAATCCTCCTATTTTCCTATTGAAATACAGTAATCCTTCGTTATAACAAAGTCAACGGGACGGCAAAATAAAATAGATATAAGCGGTAATTCGATAAAAGTGATAGAGCCAAGAAGCAGCGCCAGCAGCCTTGAAGGTGGATGGAAACACTGCGGAACACTCTGACCGTATTTTTAATCAAACAAACCTTGGTTATGAACATCCCGTGGCAGCTTTACCAAGGAAAAAATATAATTATGTGCAGTTTACCAATAATTTCATCCGGGCATCAATTCTCTTCAAACTGCTTCGTCGAACGCAAGAACATCGTCACCGCCGCTGCACTCCACTTTGTTTCGAAGCAGCCGTAGGATGCTTCGCGTCTCCGCAGTTGTTGGCGTTTCTGGAGCTGCCTCTCCGACGCCGCTTCGTGTTTACTCTGGCTGCACTCAAGATCTACGATTGCAGCATCCATGGCAGGAGCAACAACGGGAACGTCTGCATCGACAAGCGCAAACGAATCTAACTCTTCCTTGGTGGCTTGGCCAACATGTTTTTACACATTCCTTGAGAGATCGTTGCAGCTCTGGAAATCGTGAGCCAACTCGGCAAGCATGCTCGCGAGAAAGAATCCGACGTGCGCGAAGCAGTTGGCGGTCTTTCATCTTCGGGTCACGGACGCGCTTTCTCCTGCATGGGAAACTTCTTAAACCCATCCAGTATGCCTTGCTTGTTCTGCAAAACGGTGGACAGTGTCAAACAGCCGATACCGAAATGTAGAATTTGTTTGGTGATATCGGACTTGGGCCGGCCACTTTTCTCAACCTCAAGCGACTTTCGGTAAACACTCCCAATCTCCCACACAACGCACGTGTGCGTGTAGCACGCCACAGGCGCGCGTGTCGGGGGCTCTCAAAGGGATGACCTCCTCCGGGCTCCACCGCTCTCTTGACCCGAATCTGACAAGAGTTGGACAGCGTCGGCCGCGGGCGCTGTAAGTGGCGTCGGAACGTTGACGCTGCTCCCTGAAGGGCTATGTTGCACGTTTTGGACTCCCAGGAGACTAGGGAGAAGGAAGTGACGTCAACAACGCCCTTTGGATGTTGATTGGTGGAGTCGCTGATGACGCGTTGCGTGGTGCTGCTAAGATACGTTCATTCACACCTACATCACTTCCCTCTCCCTAGTCGCCTGGGAGTCCAAAACGTGCAACATAGCACCCCAGCCCATGTCCCCGGCATCGGAAGCGGCGCTCTGCCAGCTCTGCGCACTCTGCCCTTCGTCACCCATTTACTCCGTTTTCCCAGTTTGCCGCTTGCCTCAATAGAGAAAGAGGAGAGAATGCAAACGTCTCCGTGTAGGCTTGCATGCTTTCGGCACCACAGCCTTTGTAATAAGCGTGGTTGACTGCCAATGCACTTAGAATAATCTGGTTAAAAATGCATGCATTTCGGTCGATACCACATTGAACTTCGATAAGAGCGAAAATTCGAAAAAGGTGATTTCATTATAACGAGGGATTACTGTATATGGAATGAAGATCTTGTTGGAGGTATGTTAAGAAAGGAATTACCTTCTGCAAAATAACAAAAAACAAAATCTATTTAGTGCCTCTGGTTTTTTCTGAACTGCTCATGAAGGGCAGGTTGAAAAAGGGGCAGTTTGAAGGACTTCAAGCTCCCATAGAATTTACCTAGCTCCAAAACCAGGAAATGTGTGACCGTACTGCAAATTGTTTTTTTTATTCTATTTTGAATAACACCATCCCAAAGCCAATTCGTCTGGTAACTGCTGAGCAGTTGGACCAAAAGGTTGCCATTGGAAATACATAGGGCCCAGGGAGCTGCGATCATCTCCAATAAAATCATCATAAAATCAATAGGGTCATCTCCAATAAACTATTTTCGTTGGAAATGTATAGGAAATACATAGGAACTACATTGGAAATACATAGGGCCCCAAGGAGCTGCGATCATCTCCAATAAAATCATCATAAAATCAATAAAGTCATCTCCAATAAAATATTTTTGTGTCATCTTCGTGCAGGTGTTCGTCTCTCAGGCCTCAACGACGGTGCGTCATCGTCCGCTTCCCAGCCGACGTTGTCCAGCTTCCTGTCAGGGAGGACGGCAACCACGTGTCCCGTCTGCGGCAAGACCCTGGGCAGCAGCTCTTCCGAGTTCGTCAACGCACACCTGGACTCGTGTCTCCGCGACGCGTCGTCAGAACCGGCACGCGAGGAAGACGTTGAAAGTGCCTCCAGGTGTGTGAGTTTGGTCTCCGCGGGTTGTCAGATGGTTCCTGGGAGCACGGGGGTTCTCCAGAGTACCGCCAGAGCTTTTTCAAGCACCAGGGTCGTCTTTGATCTACTGGGACATCACGGCAGGCACGTTACGAGTCACAGAGAACAGCCTGCTCTCGTGCCACGCGGAGGAAAGATCGGCAGCCTGTGTTTGCCGTCAGCACGCGATTGTGAGCAGGTGCGTTCAGCATCCCACTCCGCCCACGCACCGAAGGCGGTTACATAGTGGCGACTAACGACGTCACAAAAGCTGGAGCGCCATGCTGTCGGATTTCGTCTGCGTGACACAAGAGCCTGCCGCCCTCTGTGGCTCATGGCATGCCGGCCATGACGCCACACTACTACAGTAGCCTCGCGACAATTCAAACTCGGATATTTCATACTTCTCGTTAATTCAAATGAATTTTAAAATCTTGGTTGTCCCGCTATGCTTTTAATGTATTTATAGGCCACTTAATTCAAACGGCGTTTTTATGTTGTTCATACTTTTTGCGGCCCCGTTGAGTGTGCTTCTTTCTGAGCACCGGTGCACCGCAGAGAGGCAACACCCGTGGAGCTTGCCTCCACGCGTGTTGCTTTTCTGCAGCGCTCTGGTGCTCGGTGAGAAGCGCACTCATTAGGGCTCAAGCAGTCACCTATGAGCTATGAAAATGGGCACCGTGTGAAAATTTCTGTAGCAACCTGAGCAGACACCGTAAAAGGGGTGGCATGACATAGGTCCACTTAGCGTCTGCGGAAGTTGCTATGAAAACTGCCGCGCAGTGCCCGTTTTCATTGCTCATGTGTTCCTTGCTTAATAGAACACATTAGACAACTCCCTGGCATGATGAGCAAGCTTCATTTCGTTTTGAGTTGTCATGTGCTGTCTGACAGTTCACGATAAACAGCATTTTCGAGGGATAATGATTTATTCCTCAGAAATTAGGAATACATAATGTATGGCTCATGTCATACATTTCACAAATGTTTCATGTGTGGCATACCTGTTTATGATCGAGTAGACCTATGTAGAGGAAATCGTCAAATATCTGCTCTGCATGTGTAGCCATTCATATGGCAAGTCATAATTTTATGTTGCATCATATTTAGATGAATTTCTCATAATTCAAACAAAATTTGTGTCTTCGTGGAGTATGATTTAATGAGAATCTGCTGTACTGCATATATAGCTTACTGTTAATGTTAACTGTTGGTTGACATTAAGTCGTAGAATGGCTCTCATTCGCTGCACGATCGAGGGTTGGTGTCGGTGGTTCGGTGATTGATGCCATTCGTATTTCAATAAGTCAGTTAAGTTTGTTATGTGGAAGTTTGGACAGCGGGAAATTATTCTATAGCAAGGAGCGCCTGGTCTCTCGGCTGTAGATGACAAACCTTGCCAGTGGCGGTATTGGCAGTACGACCGTCAACCTGGCGTTTTTAAATTGCGTCACGCAGTGGTGAGTACGCGAACACGTGCCAATGCAATTTTTACTTAGAAAAAAAAACAAAAAAAACTAGGATGCCTGGATTCTGCAGTACGAGCTTTCGCCTTACGTGCTACGAGCTGCAATGTGCTGGCAGACTCGGCCACCATTCTCCCTTTTGATCAGTCGATTGTCAACATACAAAACGTCGTTTCTGATATTGCAGGTACATCGATATGCGATAGTGCAAATTCGGATTCGCGTGATCGAATTTTTGCGCTCGACTACCTACTGTAACAATGTTACCTGTACTACGAAAAAATTTCGCCCGGTTCCGCGGACTTCGTTAGAAAGGCGTTTGACTGTAGTACTTTTGAGTTTTAAACTGGGATTATAAAATTAAGTGATTGCAATGAATGTGTCCAGGGATAAACAGCTTTCGAAAATGTTGAACTTAAGCTGGAAACGTTTCAACAGTGGAACTTACTGTTGCTTTAATTCTGTTGACACATCAGTCTCTTTTTGGGGTATTTAGGAAGCTGGAGGGGCTGTTTTTGCAAGGACTATGTGGTTATGCTTTTGGTGACGAAGAATGCGTCTTAAAAACTTTTGTTACATTCGGCGCAGTTGTCAAGACTTATTGGGACGACATGACTTTGAAAAACTTTGAGGTCCACGTTCGATCAACAAACGGCGACACATTGCAACTTGTCTTTGTTCCTGTGTTTCAGGTTGGCTCCCGTGAAAGTTGAGAATTCCGACGAAACCGACAACAACACCGCGACGCCCGGATCTCCCATTACGGACGGACCTAGTACGAGCTCGACGCCCATCCAGTGTCCCGTCTGCGGACAGGCGATCCAGGAGACGGACTGGTCCAAGGTGAATGGACACATCGATGCTTGTCTGAACCGGCCAGCCATCCGGGAGATGCTCTCGTCCCAGACTCTGACGCCGGCTTCTGGAAAGAGGTAGTACTTGTCATGCTTCCTCTGCAGATAATGAGACACCTTGGCTTGAAAATTTTTGTGTTATCTCTCATCCGATTTAGATTAAATTCTCACACGTAGCTTATTTGGGTGGGATTCGCAATTCCGGCAAGACGGACGGCCCCTAGCAGAAAAACGCTGAACTGGCCGGAACAGGTCCTTTCGCGATTTCCGCTTGTCCCATGTTGCCTCCGTGACTACAGGCCGTAGGTGACTGGCGCAATGATAGCCACCGAAGGAGGAGCATTTGCGTTAATTGTATCCAAAGCAACGAAAACGGAACCAATGTCGGAGCCGCAGGCAAAACTATGAGTCATAATTAGAGTTCCACGTTTTCAGTATGTACGGATAAACACAGCAAATGAACCCCCGAGGTGGTTTTCTCTGAATCGATAAAAGCCGAAAAACCCAGAATTTAAGCTGTTTTTAAATAAAAAACAACAGCAAAAATGCCAGCTTTACGAGAAAAAATCTTCTATACCCTACTTCTTTTTTTTTCTCGTTGACTCGGAAGACAGCCGCATTGAACTTTCCTCTTGGCTGTTCCTTTCTATCGAAACTACATTCCTTGCCCCGTTCCCTTCTCTTATCTTTACCAGCCTTACTGGAGAAATTATTATAATTTATAAATATTAAATTAAAATATTTTCTCGAGTCACTATGCAGTCGCCTTACAACACAAGCCCGATAAACACTGCCTTTTCTCCGGCATTCAAATTATACGCCGAGAGACACCAATTCAAAGGGGAAAGAAAATAAACACCGATAAATAGCCCCCAAGTTCTAAGAGAAATAAATACCTACCGAAAACACGGAGCCCTAGTCACAATGAGCCGAGGACTTGGGTGCACCTAGCACATTGTCACGAATGACAAGATGAAACAAAGAATAACTGAAGAAACTGAAACGTTTAATGGGGGCGAACTTGTGCCCAAAAATAAAAAGGGAACAGAAGATAACAGCAGAGCGTCGTGGGCGTCGAAGTCGGCGAAAGAGCGGAGTCGAACGCTGGGGCGAAACTGACTCCCGTTCGCCATGCGGAGCCTCTTATATACATGCGTGAGCTTCTGGAATAATCGGCGTAGAATGTTCGACGCGTAGTACACGCAACAGGATTCTCGAATCTACCAGAAAACTAAATTGCAGGAATAACAAAAGATGCGTCGCTCCCGGGAATCGAACCCTGGCTTTTCACGTGGGAGGCAGGCACGATAACCGTTAGGCCACGCGTGCGCTGCCTCCTACCAGCTGCGCACGCGGCAATATTGCTTCTCATGTTGTGTAGGGCAAGCAGCTGTCCCGGTGACTCTGTCGGTCCAGTCGTATCGGCGCGTTGCCCAGGTTGCTCGGAGCGTAACCTATGCAGCTGCGTGAACCAGACATTGTGCGTTTATCGACACCCATCGACACAATCTAAGCGTGGTAGTACTGTCAAGACCGCTAATAACGAAGTCGGTTATAACGAAATAGCGGCTACAGCGAAGCGATCACGATTTCCCATTCCTTTTTGCCATTCTTTATAACCGAAGTTGGTTATAACGAAATAGCGGATATAGCAAGAGATTTTCGATTCCCGTCGACTTTGTTATAACCGGTCTTGACGGTAAAGGTTGACCCAAAAAAGTAATTTTTTGAACGTTCGGCTTAATATGAAGGAAATTTACAGTATGTACTGTCAGTTGCAAGGCAGAATGCAGTGCAAAGTTTCATCTGTGTAAATGAATTGTGAAAGAAATTATAATGTTTTTTTTTATCAGGAACACACTGCCTTTATTTAGGAAAACTATCGTTAGAAAACAAATGTAATGACCAGCATTTTCTTCACTAGATACGCAGCAGAATGCCTGGAGAGTGCTGCTTTGAAAACGGTTTTCAAAAAGTAATTTATTTTATGCTAATATTAAGCTGAAAAATCAAATAAATTTCTTACCTTGTCAACGAAATCTTAAATTTTTTTATAAAAGGCATCCACAAAGAAAAAGCGCAGCCACAGTTGCATTGCCTATTTAATTCGAGTTAGGAAAAACAATGAGTGAGCCTTTCCTTTTGTCCCATTACTGAATGATAGTTTTCCTAAAGTGAAATGTATGGCAAAAAGTGAAATGGAAAAAAACATGTTCAGAGTGCTCGAGCCTCTACCTTTTCTTTGGCATCAGTGGAATGCAAATAATTTTTTAAAAAATAACTATGCTGTGTAGGCAAATGAAACTTTTCTTGGAATACTCTCTAGATGTTGATGGATGTAAATGTGGCATTCTTCAAAATCAACTTTTTTTTTTTTGCAGAAAACTTTTTTTTTTCTGGGTAATGTCCCCCCTTGAAAATGGAAAAAAAAAAAAAGACAAATTGAGGAAATGACGACTTTTTATTTACACAATGACGAGTTTTGATTGGCTATGCCATTCAACGAATAGTTAGTTCATGACATAAACCGCTGCCTGTGACATTTTCTTCTTTCCCTATGTTGCACGACCTATTATGCGCCTCAGAGAGGTAATTCTGTCCTTCAGCTCCCGGTGCTCGCAAACCGGCATGTGACGTGGGACGTGCCTACACGGACGTCCGGACAGACGCTCGAAAGAGTCAGTCCTGCTAGGCGCTCTTCCGGTCATCTTCTCCTGCTGCCACGTGTTGGAGCGACGGAGCGTCGAAGACATGCGCTCCGCCGAGGCTCGGCAGGAAGCCAGAATCGGTGGTAGCATTTGCACATTGGGGTGCACACCCCCATTGCACACGTCAAAGGACTCTAGGCAAGGAAAGTAGAAAAAAACTTTCAGCCCTTCCCCTCTGGTGAAGAAGGAAGAGCAGCGGAGCTGTAGCTTCTGTTCTCGGCGGTGGCTTTCCAGGCAAGCGATCTGTTCCTCTTTCGCAAGGAAATCTGAAGCACTCGACGCAATGGAACTTTAGCGATAGCAACCTCACGGCGGTTGTGGAGCCATTCGCGCTGCTGCGCACATCGCTGCTTGTTCTGTTCCCGCTCTTCTTCCTCTGAAGAAATGTTGCCGCCATCTATGAGCGATCGCAGCAACCAGTTGCCTGGTTGCCGAGGCTGGAAAGGTTGCCGCGATCTATGAGCGACGGCAGCAAGCAGACAACCGGCAAACGCAACTCTAGACAGCTACCGCCATCTGTGAGCAACGGCGGCAGCCAGAATGTTGTGTTGACCACGGGTGTTGACATTTGTTTGGTACCGAACATGATCCTGGGGAAACTAGCCCTTAACGGAGCGCTGTAAAAAACTGCGAAGGAAGGTGTTTTTTGAAGGGGCTTCTTTAGGATTGCCACCGAACAGCACGTGACCACCCAGTAATTAATAATAACAATAATAGTAGTAGTAGTAGGAGTAGTAGTACTAGTAGTAGTAGTAGTAATCTTTATTAATGAAAATCAACAATACAAAATGGCAGGTCTGCCGAAGCCAGAGTAAGGCTTGTGTGGCGCGACCTGGCAGTGAAAGCACATTCTTCACAATAACAAATCCGAGACAAAGGTAGCGAACTGCGATGTTAAAAATGTACTACAACGAAATCCTTGCGCCCATTTTATTTTCTAGATGTCAACCACGTCATGGCCACACCACAGACACCAATTCTTTTGTTCAAAAAGACACTGAAACACTGCTTAAAACAAATAAACCAATTGCCAGATTGCACCTGGCGGACATTCTTACACGTCGCTACGTCAAACTTCCCACAAAAGCTGCGCCGCTCCGCAGAAGTACGGCACCGAGCTTCGAGCGCGCGTGGGCTGTCAAGCTCGACTGAACCGGGTTTTCCTTCTCTCCTGCGCCTATTCGACTCCTGCGAAGAGCAGGGAGAGGAGAGTTTGAGGCGGAGCTGAGCCACTTTTTTTGCCTCCACTGGCATTGCCTAAACAGCTGTCGGCTATCTCGACCAGCCAGGTTGTGGCGCATTGACGCCACCAAGTGTGGCAAAGTTCACAATCGCGCCAGCCACGCCGTAGTCTTGCCCACAAAGTCTTGAGACGCATCATGCTCTCAGATGGCCGCTCTGCGAGCGCTCGCTGGAATCGGCCATCTGGAACGAAAAATGTGCGTAGAGCAAGTTCATCTGCTTCTTGCACACGGGTTGCGATGTCAGAACGCCAAACTCTTAGCTGATTGAAAAAAATAGTGGATAGACCTCAAGGCATCTAGCATTGAGGTCTACCCGCTATCCTTCCAATCAAAGCCATGCGGAGCTTGGCGTCATTCTGACGTCACCGCAACTCTTGCGCAAGAAGCAGAAGACTTGCTCTCCGCATAGCCACCCTGTCAAAATGCAAACATACAATGATATTAGCAGGTTTCTTCGATCATGTTTACTCATTTCTGAACGTCAGAGCTATATCTCAATTCTTATTTCTGTAGCCCACCCTTTAATGCCCTTAGTCATATGGGACTTGTTAAAATCTTGTGTGCTTTCTTTAAATCTATTAAAAAAATTAGACAACGAAGCCTACCTTAATGGCAACGCCACAATAACATGTTCCTCAACATGCCCTACAACTTTTTGTATTGGATGGTTTGCACAGAAGTTAATATTTTAAAAGATAGTTAATTGATCTGCATTATTTAGCCACTTTGGTGCATCGCAAATCTCGATTTGCTCGATAGGAGTGTGAGCAGTATTGCATGGGCTCGCAATGCTTAGCGTCCGCCGGCTTTATCTAAGTCTTGGTACAAGTTAGCTGAAACATTCTGTATGTATATGTTATGCGCTGGCTTCTTGGAATAATGTGTGAGAAGATATAAAAAGGCAAGGGGACAAATTGCAGTCTGAGCTCGTTATAACAGACCTTGATTTTGACCAAGATTTTGGTCTGTTGTAAAAGGAGTATGTTGTGTGCAGATATGAAGTTGAGTCAATGGTGTGTAGAGGAAAACTAATTGAACTTCACAAATCAGTATGTTACGTCCAAATGTCTGTTGTAACCAGGTCTGTTTTAATGAGCTTAGACTGTATTTGATTAGTGTTTGATCTTCTTGCAAACAACTGCAGCAGCTTGTACGGGCCAAGCTTTGTTTTAGGCTGTTGCTACAACTGGGTGCATTGAACTAGCTCTGGAGAGAGGGCACTGTATGAAGATTCTGCATTTTCTTTTTATTCTCTCACTGCTAATTGTTTTCGTTTCAGAAGAACGGAGACCGCACGGAGTCAGCGCTCCAAGAAACGGCCCAAGTCGAGTCAATCCGACGAACCCAACAGAATCACGAAGTACCTGTCTCCATCTACATCGAAAGCCTAATATTGACTCGCTGCCTCTGGCAATGTACACTTGTAAATAAATTACCTATGCTTCGTTATCCTTGACAAATTGTAATGTTATCCTTGTGCAAGCTGTGTTATGGGAAAGGTCTACGGCAAGCTTCTAATTTGTGGCATCACTAGTGCATGGTGCATGTTAAAGATACACTGCTAGCATTTATCCGTTCTACAGCTGTGACATAAAGTGGATGCCATATTTTGTGAGAGCAAATTAGAAATACCTCTATAACTGACTTGATGATTGCCCGTTTCATACTCAAATGCCCAAATATTTTACTAGAAACACTATCACCGCAGACAGTATAATTACTGTCAACAAGACAGGCATGTTCTGTCTTAATGTTCCATTTCGTTTTTCTATTTATTATATTGATGACGTTTGCTCGGCCAGGCTTTGCAATACTTGGCACAAGCAAACTCAAATCTTTCACAGTGTTTTGAGGGTAGCAATCTATTTTAATTTCCTGAAGAACATTTGCAACTTTGATGGTGTTCAGTTGCAGTAATAAAATAAAAGAGGGAAAACCTGCCACTTTGTTTTATCACAATGGCACGTGCATGGGTGCTTTTCTTCACACTGGTTCAGAAATATCAAAAACTGTCGCAAACACTGATTGTTTATTGTTGTCTTTTTGGGAGGATGACGGTATTAGTGATACGACGTCGTCGGAAGTGCTGTCACTGACGGCGTCATACGGTACGGGAAGTGACAAGGGGGGATTGAACTACGAATTTTACGGAGGGGAGGGGTATATCGAACATTAAACAACTTCATGAAACGCTTAAGTCTGCGCTGTCCTTTAAAAGTGCAAAGCAAGCAGGATTAGGACAAAAGAAGAAACAGAAAACTGGATGTCATGAATATATGCTACGAGTCTCCAAATTTCAGTCATTCCATGCCTCCCGGTGTACCTTTTGAGAAAAGTAGTGCCTTCTCAGAACTTTGACCTTAATGTCGCATTAAATTGTAGCCATTTCTCAAGTAATAAATTATCCATAATGGAACAGCGCGAATTTTTGCAAGGACAGAGGAAGGAACTGGACAGGACGAGCACTGACTAACAACTGAAAGGTTTATTCTCAGGAAACCACGAAGAAAAATATACAACAACACGACTCTCTCGTTGTTGTCGTATATTTTTCTTCGTGGTTTCCTGAGAATAAACCTTTCAGTTGTTAGTCAGCGCTCGTCCTGTCCAGTTCCTTCCTCTGTCCTTGCAAAAATTCGCGCTGTTCCATTATGAATCCATACCAACTCGCCCAGTTATCCTGTTTACTAATAAATTATATGGTTGAAATCGGTGAGTTGGACTTGGTTGGTCGCTAGTCCAACAGCTTGCAAACGAAGCTCTTGTTGAGTAAAGTCGGAGCAGTTTTTTTTATCATTATGATTCCCGGCTTTTGGAATATTTTTGCGAAGCTCTTGTAGCAGACGACAAGCGTGCCGCGTCGTCTGCTTTCGCAATATGTGTAATGGGGATAAAAAACGACGAAGTAATGTTGCGAAATATGTGCGACAGCTGGCGTTTGACAATCCAGATGTTGAAAAAAATTGTTAAAGTAAAAGCAGTTAAAACGTTCCTTACGCGCTACGGGGTAACGTTCGCAGTGAGCCGCCTTGACCTCGTAACGCAAAAAAAAAAAAAAAAAAAAAGAAAGTATGAGCAGCAAGAGTACACTTGCCTTGCAAGGGCTCACTGGTTACTCAATAGTGGTTGCTATGGGTACCCCTGGAAGACGTAGTCGTACTCTTGGTGCAAACGTGCACATATTGCAAACTAGAAAAAAAGAAATAAGAATGTAAGATTATAGAACCGGTCTTTGCCATTTGTATTTTTGCTTTACTTTTCATTTTCACCCTTGGGACCTCGCATAATCCAAGAGCGACGTGAACACAATTTATTTGATTTATTTTGGCATCTCCACAAGCTTCCCAGCGTTCCTGTTCCTCATGCCAGCGCGTGCTCTCTTGTCATGACGTATCATCCCTTGTATGACGTCATGGTCCTGCGCGCTCTAAGCAGACAGCGGCGCAACCAGCGCGCCTCTTTTTTTTATTTTTTTTTATTTTTCCTTTTTGGCGGGAAATTGTTTGTTAACGATCGTGTGCTTCGCCCACGTGGATTTCGCTTGAACGCGGTTACACTGAGTTTTAGACATATTCCATGCATATATGTTGTGAATGTCGAGCCGTAAGTTACGTGCATATAATAATTGCGTTCCGGTTTGAGGTAAGTAGGTCATTCTGAATCGCCCGGTGTACCGGTGAGCGGTGTAAAGAGCCAGGGGAACCGTTTCCATGCAGCATGTTAAAAGCTAGGAACGACACTGCACTTGCATATGCCGTTCGAATCGCATAGCGCAGACGCGCAGAGTCATTCCTAACTTGGGTTGTCGTGGCTTTCCCTTCCACTGTGAAGGTTATGAATGACGCAGCGCTATTCGATTCGAACCGATTCGCACGCACACCCCTAAAATAATCTCCTAAAATGAGAGCCAATCAGCAATGGAGCATACACGGAATACGAAACTAACCCACTGATTGGCGCAACAGGTCACGTGGCCCTTTTCGGCGGCACTCCGCCATCTTGGTTTATATTGGGCGAGGCATCAGCGAGCACATTGCGGGAGGCAGCACTTCATCTAACGAATTTCGCAGGGAGAGTTGGCATCTTGCACGTCCGCACAACCTCCGAAATGGCGTCGCGGAGCGTCCGCAAACAAGTCGTGACGACCACGACAACGTCGTCGTCCCACAACGTTTCGCAGCAAGACCGCGGGGACAGCCCGGCGAACCCGGCGTCGCCTCGGACACCTCGTTCGTCAGACACCAACGCCGGCGGGAGCCGGGAACGCTCGCACTCGCCGCTCTCGGCGTCCAGGGTGTCGAGAATTCAGGAGAAGAACGAGCTTGCCCACCTCAACGACCGGCTGGCAGCGTACATCGACCGCGTGCGTCACCTCGAGTCTGAGAACAGCAAGTTGACCAAGCAGATAGAGACGAGCCAGGAGACCCGCACCCGGGAGGTCGCCAGCGTGAAAAACCTGTACGACCGCGAGCTCGCCGACGCGCGCCGTACCGTCGACCTGACCGCAAACGAGAAGGCCAAGCTGCAGCTCGACGCTAAGAAGTGGCAGGCAGAGGCTGAGACTCTGCAAGCCAAGTGAGTAACCAGCCCATGTGGGCCGCTTTCGGTTTTTGGGACGGTTCCATGTAGGTCGGGTCGGCCATATTAGCGTCGTGGTTAGGAGGAGGGGGGATCGGTTTTTCTGACCGGGCGCCTTATATATATATTTCTTTTTCTTGAGGCTATTTCTAAACCATGCGACTTCGGCGAGCGGCTGTGGCTCGCGGTCTTTCGTTGTCTGGCTTCTAGGCGTCCGTCACTCGAGCTGTCTTTTCGAAGCGGGGCGGTTTGTGTGTCCGCGAAATCTTTAACCGGCTTCTCTGAATCTTGAAGGCAGAGTAGTGACAAGCTAGCTAGTTTAAGCTTGACATGATAGAACTTGAAACGAACTAGAGAAAGAAAAAAGGGGATGAACGATTTGTCACAACTTGTGTTCTCCACCTTTTTTTCTTTTGTTCGTCTCGGGTTCCATGCAGTCCCTTCGAAACCGCTTTCGAGCCCAGTGCAGACGCTGTGATAACCCGACAGCTTTTACCTTGAAAAGAAACCCTTGTAGCCCTTATACCTCGGGTAGCGTCGGTTACAAACGGAATGAATGGAAGCGTAACAACTCCACTTAAAAGTGCAGTTTTCATTGATTATTCAGTCGCCGGCTGTTGAATGCCGGTTTTCGCCGACCTTGACCGATAGGTGGCGGTGGTTTGACCGGATGTGGCGTCAGTGCCATTTCCGCCACACCTCTTCTCAGCGTAGCATGTTCCTTTTTTCTTTTCTTGTGTTTGCCTACGTTTCGCAAGGCGCGCAAGAAACAGAATAGTGGTAGCTCTAGGTTTCTTTGTACATTTTTATTTATTTCCATCCTTGCGTACCAGCAGTCACGCTTGCGAAATGGCTAGACTGGCTAGCAGTTTTGAGGTGAACTTGTCCGGAGCAATGTCAGTGTGTAGTGGGTGTAATTCCTACTTGTCGGAAAACTGAAATAGTACATGACTCATTGCATGGTGCGTACAAAAGATATAATAATAAAAGAAGCTATTACCTGGACTTGTGTCATGTCCGCATCGGCACTTCTCTTCGTGCTATTTATCACAAGGCATTCCTTTTGTTAGCAGTTAGTGATAAGTTATCTGAATGGGTAAGGTTGTTCCGACACTGGCCGTGAAGCGATTATGGTGTCTTCGATCGTTTGCTCGGCCTAAGGGGCTGGCAGCCTCTTTCTTTACCAAAGAAACAAATTCGAAACCTGTTGCTCTCTATGGGAACCAGTTTTGGGAGGGTCCAACAATCGTCCTTTTGTCCTTTTTTTTTTTATCGAGTTTCTGATCTTTGTTTTGCTCTGGCTGTGACCTTTCGAACACCTGCGCTCTACCAGCTTACAAACGGGGTTGTTGATTCCTTGCCATTGCATCTCCCCCTAACAAAAACAAATGTGGCAAATGCAATAGAGGGCTGACCTTTCAATGGTCTTTCAGAATTAATTTATAGTGTTCCAGTTCTGTCTGTAATGAAGCATGTAAGTGTACTCGTACTAGGCTCTCCAGTTAACATTGTAATTTCACCCAAAAAGTTTTGTTGTGCACAACATTACAATAGTAAATGATTACCCAAATCCATAAAACAAATGTGAGGGATATATGAGTAGCCCCCCTCCTAACGTTTTTATCCTCTCGTATAGTTACCTAAACTTCCTTAGTGTTCTTGCACTGGTAATTGTTACAGCTTTCATTGGACAACTTCAGGGTGTCTAGCGACCGGGAATTGTCAGGGAATTTTAGTTACCGGGAAAAATTGGGGAATTGTCAAAGATATTGTCAAAACGCGAGCCCAGTCAGGGAAAACGTGCCGGAAATACCATAGTGTCCTGAGCAAAGACTTGGACTTGGGGGCAGAAAATAGGCAATGAATTCTGCTTAGAGCGGAGCGCGGGCTCTGCTCGCCCCATGTACCGTAGAATACCGGGCAAGCGCCCTCTCAAAATCTAAAGATAATCGCGAAAAATTGGGAATGGGCGCTTGTCCAGTCATCAGTTTTACATATCAATGTACTGCCCATATTTTCTCAGATCTTAAAACTTGGGGAATGAGCGCTTAATGTGGAACGGGCGGATGCGCGGTATTCTTGTGCTACCCGATGCAAAGGGAACAGCCGACAAATTCAGTCCAAGCCTTGGATTGGATTGGACTGAGGGCACGAAACTAGGCCAGGTCCAGTTAGAGCTACTAGATTTAGTAACAAATAGGAAAACCGCAGACCCCAATCCAATCAAAGCCGAAAGTATCCGAAAATGTGCATCTCGCAGCTATGCCGTCATGCTGCCATTTGGTTGTTAACGTGTGTGGTTGAGCGTCATGTTTTCATTGTGTTTCCCCAATACAATCCAAGCCGAAAATATCAGAAAGTGTCCATTTGGCGGCCATGCTGTGATTTGGTTATTAACAAGGCTTGTGTGGTTGAGCGTCATGTTTTCGTGTTTCTGGAAGTGGCCTCTTCACTGACAATGTCGGCTGCAAGAAAGGGCTTGTTTGATCCGGACTGGACAAGCCCCAATATTTCAGAATATGCAAGTTGAATTAAGCCCGTGCAAAATGATCCTCACAGTGCTCAATGCTGAATGCCTTGTGTTATCTTGTATATTTACCCGCCTCTACATTGGTCAGGGAATTTCACCTGAAATTGTCAGGGAAAACCCGGAGAAGTCGGGGAGTTTCAAAATAATAACTTGCTAGACACCCCGACAACTTTCTTCGTAATTGAACTGCAACGGCATGCGTAACTGTAGAGGCACTCCTTGCAGTCGGGGCTCGCTGATGACTTGCATTTTATTGGATTTTTATTGGGTATACATAATAAACTGTTTTTTTTTTTTTTTTTTTTTTTTAATGTGTGAAGTGAAACTCGGACAAACAAGATTGAGTGCTTATCGGACTAGCTTTGAGCTGTGTACTGTGGTCGCGTATCTATCGGATTTTCTCGCATAACATGACCGATTTCAGATTAGCCCCTTAAGTGCCAAATGTTTTTTTCCAGAAGTAACCTGAAAGTGCCAATTTTTTCTAAAATTATTCTTTTAGTATTACACATAAAATTTGAAAAGTTTATTACGCAAAAATCGGTGGAGGCGAAAAATATATTTGCCAACTAAGACGAGTGCTGCCATCTATGATTCCACGGACGAGCCTGCCTCGTCCGTGGAATTGGGGGCTACCGAAAAAACCACTGGCTCAGACGGCATTTTTAGCCAGAAAGTGGCCGAAGAGCTCAGCTCGTCCAAGGCACTTAAGGGGTTCATACTTTTTGGAAATGGTGCCTTCTATCGTGAGCCATCTTTAACCGTGTGTTTGAGGGAATCTTGAATCTTGCGAGCAGCCACTTCTCGTAGTTGGGGTAGGTCTGGTCTCGCAAACACTTTCAAGCCTTCAGTCTAGTTATGCGCGGTCGATTGCATTTGAGGCCCGTCACACACTTAAGCTTGACTTACCTTGACCGACCGAGACAAGACCGGGTTTTAATTAAGCCTCTTGGAACGGCTTACGACTGGATGCGCAGCAATGCAGCCGATCGTGAGTCGTCGCAAAAGGCTTACAAACCGGTCTTGCCGGAGTCAAGCGCAAGTGTGTGAATGGGCCTTCACACATAAATGTGCGAAGGAGCATTTTGGCTGACACCGTTCATTGACATGCATCTGCTTGCAACTTCTTTTTAACCTTGTCAGACTTGCCAAACGAGAACGAGAGTGGTCTGCAGCTGAGCGACGGGTCACATCGCTTGAGTCTCAAAATGTGGACCTCCAGGGACGCCTGAATCAGGCCCTCGCACAACTCAAGGTAAGGAAAGCTGCCAAACGCTTGTTTTTACGTCGTTTGTCTTCTGCATGGTCGGCTCGCTGAGTTTTTTGATGGCTTACTTTTCGTTGTGGTGGGAGGTAGCTGGCTAGCTGGTAGCTGTTAAACTTTTGGAGCGACAGCCTTGCGTGGAAACACTTCACGGACCTTGGTCGCTCGTGTTGGCGTTGGTCACACGGTAGCATGGTTGTGGTAGAAAATGTCTCGGCAAAATGCAGCTGTTGGTTGGATGCACTAGTATGGAGTGGAGGGAGTAAATGGTGTGGTAACATCTCACCTCTCCTCAAGGAGTGGAAGGAGTAATTAGTGTGGAAACTCCCTCCAAATGGAGTAGAGCAGTAAGTAGTGTAGTAACACTCCCACCCCACTTCCACCTCTACTGTGTAAGAGTGGGGCTGCTTATTGAGGTAGGAACTGCGTATTGGTGCTAATGCACGCTCGTTGCCTTGAACAAAGTATCTAAACCAAGCTATTCTTTTTTTTTTTTTATGGTCATAGTTTTTAAGCATAAGCTATGTGACAGTATGTGCATGGGCATGGATGTATATATTCCTCTTTCTGGAATCTTCTTTGCAAATTACAAAGCTATCTGTAGAGATTTTTAGTTTTTATACTCCGGGTTGTGCAGACATGGATATTGTACATTCCAAGAAAGGCAAAGTCTAACTGGAACTTAAAAGTATGCTTTTAAATAAAAGTAGAGTACAGTTGCTGACCACGTGGCAACGGCAGCACTCGTCTTTGTTGGTGACCACAGTCTGCGTGCCATATCCCGGCTCAAGGTTCAGAACTGATGCAAGGCCCTTAAATTTTTTTGTTGGTCCACTTTTAGGATGCGGAGGCAGAGCGGGACGCGATGGCGAAAGAGCTCGAGAAGCTCCGCAAAGAGCTGGAGGCGGAGACTCTGCGGAATGTTGAGCTGCGGAACAGGGCCAAGACCCTCTCCGAGGACCTCGATTTCCAGAAGTCCCTCTACGAAAAGGTGAGCATCAGAATGAAACATTGCAGAGTAAGCGTGCCTCCCTAGGACCTTTCTAGAATTTCTGGACAATGGGAAGCACGTGGAAGGAGGACCCGCAAATCTTCTTTAAATTTCGTTGCATGTGAATTTAAAAAATTCAGTCTGATGGGCAACTGCGTGAATTTAGTGAGTGAAGTATGCAAGAAACTGTATTTTCAAAAGCATTCTCCTTTCTAATGTTAGTGATGTGATGCCTTAAAATCCTGTGAGGATACCCACCTTCCGAGGGGTAGCCCATCCAATTTTTCTAGCTAAATATTCTTAGTGGAAAAATTCCATCGACCGCACGACGATCGCGCGGTCGATGCGAACTGCACGATCCGTGGAATTGATACGTGTGGCAAGCGCATTTGTAGTGTTTCCCTGTTTTTTGTTTGCAATCTGCTTGCACAGTACTGTAAACGATGTAACTTTCGCGAGGACCCCAATTTCGCGAATCGCCTGCAACTCTCACAAGAGAGGTCCTGCCAACAATTCTGGTAAAATGTAAACACATTGGAATCTACATTGCCATCCCACCGCGGCGTGAAAATTGGAACCCGCGAATTATTCCACAATAGTCGTTTAGAGTATTGGTTCCCGTGACAGTTTTTTCTGTGTGTATACTGCATCGTGAAATGTGAATCTGCTGCATCTGCAATCTGTGGTGTGCTCCGCTCCCACGACATGTTAGCTTGTATCAGGTTCCCAAGTTTTTGTCTGCAGACAAAAACACAACCAAGTGTTCATCACTGCATTGGTTTCCGTGACGGGCAAGTTTGTAGCGGACTACTGCATGTCATTGCACTATGAAACTCAAATCTGCTGCATCCACAATCTATGGTATCCTTTCCCGTGACGGAAAGTTTGCAGCGAATTCTCGCGTTTTTATTGCATCATGAAACGCAAACTTGCTGCGTCCGTGATTCGTGGCAATGCTTTCAGTGTAGCATGTTTTATAGTCTCGGTGTTTGTCGCTAATTTTTGATACAATTGCTGTGGCATCCCCAAATACGGCCCACCCCATGTTTCCACACGTTGTCTCTTTATTTTGGGTAAACGTTCACAAGGGATTTTTTGGTATTTGATGTATCGGCTAGAGTGGTCCACAAATTAATCCAAGAATGCCTTAAACAGGCGACAGAACAATTCGTTCCATTGCCCGTTTTTTGTACCCGGCTTGTATGCGCTCAGTTTGCTAGACCATGGAGCGCATACTAGTTCAGTGAAAACGCTATCATCGTACAGCGGTACAATTTCGGTTTTGCCCGTAAGTCAAAAATGTAAGTTCAGTAGCAGAATTTTTTTTATTTTTGCACAAGATTTGGGTTACTTTTTCAGTGATGTTTGTTGGCACGTTTAACAAATTTCCAGGCAAATCGGGCACTACGAAAAAAAATGCCAGAGAATCCCTTGAAGGGAACGACATCCACGGCCCCCCTAAACCTGCCCTTGCCCTGGCGTGGGTGCCGTTGTTCAATGCAGGAGCTCCAGGAGGTGCGCGTGGTCAAGCAGACTGAGATCACGGAGATCGACGGGCGGCTCAAGGAGCGCTACGAGCAGCGCCTGGCGGACACGCTGATAGAGCTGCGAGAACAGTACGAGTCTCAGATGCAGCTGAACCGGGAGGAGATGCAGGACATCTATGAGAACAAGATGCGTGACCTGCAGAGCCTGCTTGAGCAGCGCTCCAGCGACAGCTCCACCAAGATGGAAGAGATGCGGGCATACAAGTCGCGCCTCGAGGGGCTCAACTCCAAGATCTCTGAGCTTGAGTCGCAGGTGGGGGACGTCTTCCTTTTTGTGCAGAATGCGTTTGGGGTTAAGGTTTCTTCAAGAATAGATTTCGCAGGCTCTATCATGCAAAGACCTGGGGTCACAGAAGGCATAGAGTGCAAACCTCCAGCACAAAGAAACTGAAATTACATTGCATTGATTTCTTCTTTGTAAATTTAGTGAAGTAATTGACGCAACACGTCATCACTTTTCACGCTATTGTGAGTGGGAAGTTGGCGGTCGCAGGACGTGAGGTTAAATCACTAGAGTCGTGCAACCTCTGTTTCTCTGCTCACTTTGGCGGAGAAATCCATGTCGAGTGTTGGTTATTTCTTGGCTTAACTTGGCGATGAAATTTGCGTGCCGGTCCTTTGTGACAGTTTCTCAAGCATTTTTTCGTGGAGTTTTTTTAGAGTGCTACACCTCAGAGTTACACCCATGCAGAGTTTTTAACACACAAATTCTGTGTTAGAAACTCCACTGTACGAGTCGCATTTAAGTCCATCGGTTTCGCTGAGCTTGATGACGAAATCCTGGGGATCACGTTGACAGCGCCAACAGCGCGGTTGCCATGACTCGAAGGAGACTAAAAGAAAACATTCTTTTATCGTCGAAATGACGCGGCGACAAAGAAACTCCTCGATAAGCGTCGTTGCGTGCAAGCATACTTGGCTCCCACTGGTGCCAGTAAGCTTGTGTAAAGTCAGTAATGTTCCTACCCAATATTTCCTTGCATAAACCCCTGTAGCCCCTCAAGCGTTTTCAAGTTTTCGTGGATCTCTGACCCTCGACTCCTGAATCGTCTTCAAAAAGAAAGTTTGTTGTCTTTCAGATAGAAATTCTAGCTGCAAACAAAATGAGAGCAAAATGAGGAAAAAGTCGGCGCTACCATCTGTTGGCAAGTCTGGGTCGTCGGAGATGGTCGATCGCGTGATCAGCGGGTGAAGCAGATGAGCTGCACTCGTCCTAAACAGTCTGGGGGACAACTCCGGGTTGACTGACTCGCCCTAACCAGTGCACATACACGGGAACCAGGTCCAACTATCTCCCCCCCAATTGATCAAGATCAATGGGGGGGGGGGGGGGGGGGGGTTGCTAGTTAGTTGATTATTTAGACTGTGAATTAACAAGTGCAAATGACTAAGAAGAGAAGGGGACAAGACAGGGTGCCACTTACAAGTATGGATTTAATAGAGCATGTCGAGAAAAACAAAAGTGGAAGTGAAAGAGAAGAGAAAGATGGAAATAAACTGAGCTGCCACTAAAACGACATATTTAGCTTTAAACACCGAAATAAGCATTATTTTGAGAATATACTTCCAGACAAAGTTGTAATGACATGGATGTTGAGAGCACCGTATCCCATGTCGGCGCGCTACAGTCCATATCGGGCATCATTCACTGTTGCCTCCAAGATAGACTTTCTAGCCGCACAGTGAATCAACTACTCATGATGCCTGGCATGGACTGTAGCACGCATTTTCTTCTTTGCCTCTGGGTGCCGACATGGGATATGGTGCTCTCTGCATCCATGTCATTACAACTTAAGATATTTTTCTCGATTTCTAAAGCCAAATACTTTGTCTTGGTGGCAGATGACAGTATATTTCTACCTTTCTCTTCTCCTTTTTCACTTCCACCTTGTCTTTCTTTGCACATGCTCTATTAAATTGACAGTTGTAAGTAAGCCCTCTGTCCTGTCCCTTTCTTTTCTTCTCAGTCATTTGCGCTTGTTAATCAGTCTAGAGTTGAACAATGCCCAACATTTTCGGTACTCGAAAATAGTTCAGGTACGGTGCCTGGAGCAATTCTCCAACCGGTGTATTTGTCCTAAAAAGTGGCCTCTCGATTTCCACCCAATGACCTCCTAGAAGTGTTGCGTCGTTGCCCTCCACAATTGTGGCGGTGTTGCAGCAGTGGATGTGGCAGACTCCTGTTGTGCAGCTGGTCTCTTTCCAGTATGACTGTTCATGGAAGCTTGTCAGGGGTGGCACAGCCGTGCCATTTTGATACATTCACAATTTCCTGCAGCTGGCGATGCCAAAAGCGTAAAATAGTGTGCGAAAGATTACGGCGACGCTAGGTTTAGCGGAAGGGAAAACCTCGCTCGACAGCCTTGGCCATTTCATTGCCAGGTGCTGCAAGCCGCCACCAGATTCCTTGGTTCAGCCATATCTGTCAATTCATCCATCCGATGGATTCAATGTATCGTACATCCTAGCCATTGTACTGTTGCGTCGTACATTGTACATGTACATTTATATTGTATGTGTACAATGCAGCATCTAAAATTTGTTTGAGTCGTGCCCCTTCAGTTTCAATAAAATTTTTTCCTAAAATATCTTTCTGCGTGCAATATGAGATATATTTCGCACTAAAGTTTAATGCAATTCTTTCCAACACTTGTTGTACAAACCTAATTGGTTTAAATTGAACTCGTGTACAGCTGGCTAAAATGCTTTGTTAAAATTTAATTTAATTTTATTACCTTACAGAGCCACTAAAAATAGTTATTTTTTTAAGACTGGTTATGACATGCCTGTCAAAAAAAAAAGATTGTTTTGAAGCAATATTGACAGTGCGAGATGAAATTTTGTTGGTAGTCACCTTGTTTCCACTTGTTTTCTCAGCATTTCGGGCATGTGGAGGAGATGTGGATCGGCTTGACCATCATGTTGAGGTGGAGAGTGAATGACCATTTCATGATGTCGTGAACTTTGCATGCTGTTGTGACCGAGGAGCTCCCCAGGCCAGATGGGGCTAGGGCAGGAATCGCAGGATGACTCCCGGTAGGAAGATCGGGGAGAGACTGACTTGAGTGTTCCCGCCGCAGAACCTGTCCCTCACAGCCCGCGTGCGAGACCTGGAGCGTCTGCTGGACCAGGAGCGGGAGTGGCATGGCCGGGCCCTGATGGCCAAGGAGGAAGAGATCTCCCGGTTGCGGGAGGAGATCGAAGACCAGCTGCGGGAGTACCAGGACCTACTGGACATCAAGGTGGCCCTGGACCTCGAGATCGCCGCCTATCGCAAGCTCCTGGAGGGCGAGGAGTCCCGGCTCCACATCACGCCGAGTGAGTCCGTAGAGTTTATGATCTCGGAATGGGGGTTCGAGATGGGAGCAGAATGCGGCGAATCGCGTAAGCACTGCCATCAGTGGTCTTGAGAGAAATGAGAACAAAGCTACAGAAGGGCGGAGAACGAGAGCAGACAATAGGTTGGCCGGGCTTTTGCCACTACAATCGTTAGGGCGCCCGTTAACTTTTTGTTTTATACAATGTCGTACGTCGGTGTTTTTCTTTGTGCAAGTACTAAGCAAACCTGAAATAGGTGCAGACTTTGCAACTGATGCTTTCTTGCTTTTTTTTTTTTTTTTGTCTGAAAGCATCGCCAGTGATCTGGGCCCTTTGGAAACGGCAATTCCAAAGCGGCCCAAATCCATGCAACGTTTTTTCGTGGAAAATTATATCACTCTTATAAATGATCTAGAGCAGTGGTTCTCGACCATCGATGTTTTGCGGACCCCTTATGGATCGGCGGAGATGACGGAGGACCCCGTTTGTGGTTAAGGGAAGGGAAAGTATAGGTTAATTATGATAGTGATTTAATAAATGAATGTAATAACTAAGGGCTAGTGTGAAGTGGACTTCTCTTATTGGCATATACGCTAGAAAACTAGTAGAAAATTTGAACGTCTCTTCTCAATCGAAAAAAGACAACTTTTATTTCCGGGCTTGACTGATGAGGCTGGGCTTCGCGGACCTCCATTTGAGAACCACTGATCTAGAGGAAAAGGTTCCATGCATTTCAGCCACTTTGGAACGAGGTGGTCTCGATAAGGCCACGTTGCTGGTGACGCTTTGTTCTACACAAAGAACTTCTTTGAATGAAGTAGGGAAACCTTCTTTGTGTTTGTTCTCTTGACGCATTGCGTGAAAATGATGTTGGCGTGCCTTTGGGAGCAACTTCGACTCGTCGTGGCGAATCAAATTCGCCTAACCTATTGCCCTCTTTTTTTTTTCTTTTTTTTTTTACACTTTAACATCTTCCTTGCTGAGACGCTTTTCAGGCACCTACCAACACCACCGAGAAGATAAGTTTTGCGCATTATGTTGTCTGCTCTTTGCACGGAGGATCCCGGCCCGACATTATAGGCGCACACGTGCGATCGCAGTCTTTTTTCTTAGAATCAAAAGGGCTGTTGTCAAAACCGCTAGTGTAGAAGGCACGTATTTGGGAAACTAGCGTGAACCGTAAATTGTAATGACCACTACTACCCGTAAAAAGTAAACCGCGAAAAAGCAGCAATTTCGTGGTCGTTCTGACGACAGTGCGCATAAACGGCGCACTGCCAAACTCCATATAGAGAACGCTGCCTTTAACTTTTTTTTTTTGCACCTCCTTTTTTTGTGCGATGACACTTCTCGCTTTTATGCATTCCCCTTCGCGTGCGAAGGGCCGCATTGTGTTTGACTTGCTCGTCGCGTAGCGCAGTCAAGGGCGGGCAACGAAGGCAAGCGACGCATTAACCGCATTGCCCACACGCGGTGCACAGTGTGAGATGTGAACGGTACCTTGTCCCTTTCAGGCGCGTCCACCAGCGGGGCGGAAATGTACACCAGTCCACTGCTCCGAGGCACCAAGCGCAAGCGGACTTTCCAGTCCCACCGGGAGGAGCAGTCGAACTCGGACGTCCAGGTGTCCGCATCTGCCAAGGGGGACCTGGAGATCTCGGACCACTGCCCAGACGGAAAATACGTCATTGTAAAGAACAAGGGCACAAAGGTTGGTTAACGTCGCTCTCTTCAGCCGTCTAAAGCCCCCTAGACGTCTCCTGGGCAAGGCCGTGATGCCGAATTTTCTGCGTCTTCTGAAGGGGTAAACGCGGGGGCATAGGGTGGACCCAAGTGCTGCGACGGTGTTTGGTCGGCGCTCAAGTTCTCTTCATTTGGAGACAAGTCTTCGTCAAACGCTGATGTGGCACTTGCTCAATCTATGCCCTGTGTTGCTTCTTTAGGCGACGTTTAGAATTCATCACCGCAGCCTTGTTGTCTAGGAGCTGTAAGGCCAATGCTTGGAAGCCTGTGACATGAAAGGGAAATCATGTTTGAATTGCACAAAGCCTAACATTGTTTTTGTTGGATGTCGGAGCACAACCAAAGGCTGAAACAAACTCAAGCGGATATACTCGGAAGTGTGAGGTCTCGGCACATTCAATGCAATGCTGCAACGAAATTCTAGCGCAAGGTTTATTGTCTAAACATCAATCACGTCTTGGCCACACCACGGAGGCGCCAATAGTTTGCTCGAAAAGACTCCAAAACATCAGGCCAAAACGACGGGGCTCGCACCAAGATGCGAGCCCTGTCGAACTGGACCGATCCGGGTTTCCTTGTTCTCCCATGCCTAATTCAGCGGCTGTGGAGAGTGGGGAGGGGCAACTGAAATGGTCAGGTTGTGATGCGTTGCTACCTCCAAGTGGCAAAAATTGCAAACACGCAGTCAAGAAAAACGCGGCATCACTAATGCAGAGAGACTCCTTACAACCTGATCGTTTGTTGCCCCTCCCTGCTCTCCGCAGGAATTGCATAGGTGTGGGAGTAAAGGGAAATCCGGTTCAGCAATGTTTAACAGGACTTGCGCACTTCTAGCTTGTTGCAGTACGTCCGTGGAGCGGCGCTGCTTTTAAGGTCAGAGTGACATGACAACATTCGGTTTATTTTGTGTTCAATATTTTGGTGTCTCAAGTTTGGCCGAAACATGGTTGACATTTAGACAATAAAATGGCCGCTCAAATATCATTGCAGTATGTACTTAAAGACACTTTATTGGCTCGTGGCATAGCTGCATTCGGACTTAAGGTAAAACAAAGTTCAACACAGAGTTGGTGTCTTCTGCATTCTTTCCCGAGCTAAAGTAATTGTGTTCGTATGTCTATACAGCGGGAATTAGTCGGTCCCTAGACGAGAAATTTATCCAGTGCAGTATGGCCACTAACCTGGGGTCTAAATTTGCATCACGCAGTAGTAACACAAGGCTGCATGACAGTAAAATTCTCATCAGAACGGACAGGTGTATGGATTGAGCCCACGATCCCTGGGCTCTGCAGCAAGTTTTTGCTGCGCAAGCTGCGGTACTTTAATACTCTATGCTACCCATTCCCTCCCCCTATCCTAAGAAGCAGGGGCATTGTTATCTGTAGATTGTGTTGTCATTTACTTTCAGAGTTACACTTAAATGTCAACACAATTTCTATCGATCATGTTAGATGAAGTTTGTTTAGATTTGCTTTATTTTCATTTGCGTTACTCGCAGACGTCGAAGACAATTCAACACATTCGCAGTTAGCTTCATCGAGGCAAACTTTTCTCTCAAATCTCGACAAATTGGAGCCAGCTGGTATCTGTTGGAAATTAAACGAAAGCTTCACTCTCGTTTAACTTCGAAGATGGGGTACAATCTGCAGCATTTTAAAATCGAAGTGAAATAGGAACATGTGCAAGTTTCCAAAGAACAATTCGGGGCTCGACTTCGCTTTTCGAATTGCGGTACAAGATTGCCACCTCGGCTGGCCACTCGGATGCTCCTTTGAGGGCTTTAATTGCTAAGGAACAGGCTCCATGCTCCGTAAGCGACGGTCCAACCGCGCGTTTGCTGATCCTCGCAAATCTGCCCTCGATTGTTTTTCAGGAGATTCCCCTGGCCGGCTGGCGGATCGACCGCAAGTCCGGCAACGACGAGTTCACCTTCCGATTTCACCGGACTCATGTCATCCAACCGGGGACCACCATCACGGTGCGTAGCAGTTCTCGAATTTCTTTCCCCCGTGGAAGGCACTTGTCCGATTTGCTTTATAAAGGTGGAACGAGGCTTTTGTCGGTCGAAACTTTGTCTTGCCTACAGGAACGCGTGTAGCTACGCCCTGGCTTGCTTTTTCACGGGCATGCCCACTTTCTGTGGACAGTTCCAGTCTCGCGATGTCTTTAAAAGCTACACTCCGTTTCTCTTCAAGTCTGACCACAGGCTGTGCCACCGTCAAACTGAGCCTGCCCGGTCAAGCGGCGCCACAAGCGCGTCGTCCCTGCGCTCGTTGCCTTTGTATATCTGCCATTGTTGGCTACACCAATCGCATGTAGTAGATGTGCCGAGGTTCCACCCCCTTTTTTTTCTTAGAGATTGGTTAAGTTGGTGATGGCATATCCACAAAGACTAGCGGTGCAACGGCACGTTTTTGGCTCTGCTTCTTGTCTTCGTCGAGTCGTAGAACCCGCAGTGAGACGTAGTATACAGTGGTCTCGCCATAATTCAAACTCGAAATTTCTATACTTTCAGTTAATTTAGACAAATTTAAATATTTTGGTTGTCCCGCTATGGCTTTTCGATGCATTTTTAAGCTGCTTAATTCAAGCGGAGTTTTCACTTCATTTGTGCCATTTGTTCATCGCTGGGGGCTGGCCCCGTTGAGGGCACTCCTCGGCAAGCACCAATGTGCTGCGGAAAAGCAATGCCTGCGGAGCTCGCGGGCATTGCTTTTCCGCTGTACGTGGATGCTCGGTGAGAAGCGCACTCAACGGGACTAACCCGCTGCGATGATGCAGGCATCAGTCCTGACAATCTGCTTTCATTATTCTTGCCTGTTTATTTTTTTTATTGTGGAGGTTTTGACACTCTTACTAATCAGATTGAAAGAAAACTTGGACATAATTCTTAAAATGCCTACATTAAATAAAACATTGTGTTTTTTTTTGTGTGTGAGCTCTTTTTTTAAACCAGCTTGCCCACATTCTTGCTGGAGTATACCTCCTTTGCGATGGGATGACCACGACTCATCCAAAGTTGGGATGCTGTGCAGGTCTGGAGCTCGGACGCCGGTGCAACACACAGCCCTCCGTCGGACCTGGTCATGCGCAACCAGCAGTGGCCCCACGGAGAACAGATGCGCACAGCCTTGCTCAGCGCCGATGGGGAGGAGGTGAGAGTTCCTTTGGTTTAGTGTTTTGTCATTGTAGCTGGGCTGCTCTGTAGGTGTAATTTTCTTGTGAAATTGCTCGTTCAGTTAATGTTTCTGATAGGCCTCCTCCATCTGTTCGAAAACGGGTCAGTAAAGTTAAAATTAAATGAAGTCGTCTAGATCTTTCATTAGAAAAGCCTATGTATTGCCCAGATGTTGATTTTGTGTGAAAACCTGTTAAGCAACTTTTTCCCTTGCCATTCATATACTGTAAGACCCATAATGTTTGGAAGCCTAATTTTCTTGTGAAATTTGCGAAATGTAAATTAGCAAACTTTAGTTGTTGCAAGTATTTTAATTGTCTGTATAGGTAAATTCCAGCCTTCAGAAATCGTGAAATTTAATGGTCGCGAATATGACCCCGCTGTCCAATTGTAAAAAAATCGGGGCTGCGAAAAAGGGTTTCACAGTACCAGAAGGGAAAATAAAGTTGTTCATAACACTTGCGTGTAAGATGTAATCGATGTGTGTAATTAAAGGGTAAAAGCTTTGTTTTTCCATCTGAATTGTGGTATTGTGTCCTTTTGGTGAACACTGCTTAATTTACCTTTGATTCCACACCCAGAATAACCATCTGCATGTGTTCATGCTGTGTCTTTCTACAGTCGGCATGTATTTCAGAAGTGGCTTTTACAATGAGCTCTTCTTGCCGTGTCTGGTTGCTGTTTTGAGGGGCTGACACTTGCTGTGATTCTATCTCCATCATCTATTGCTCTAATTTTTCTAGTTGTCCCTGGGCTCTATTTGCAGGGGCGGGACAGCTGGACCAATTGTGCCATTTTGATGCATTCAAATTTTCTGTGCCTAGCGGCACCAAAAGCGTGAAACTGACCAACTACGCCACGCTCTGCAAAGATAACTGTGGCGCTAGATTTAGCAGAAAGTGAACTCCGTCGATAACCTTGGCTATTTCATTGCCAGGTGGCGCAAGCTGCTGCCAGATTCCTAGATTCAGCCGTATCTGTCCATTTATCCATCCATCCAATGACACGATGGTTAGGATCCAATGGATTCATTGAATCCATCGGATCCTAACCATCGTGTTGTTGCATCATACATCAAATATGCTACAACGTATCGTGCATGTAGCATTATTGGTCGAATCATGCAACTTTAGTTTTAATAAAAATTTGTTTCCAAAATAAAAAATCTCCCTGTGCAATTTCAGGTATTGCACAGTAAAGTTCTATTCACAGGGTGTCTAGCGACTGAAAAAAACAGAAATTGTCGGGGAAATATTAATTACCAGGAAAACTCTGGGAATTGTCAGGGATATTGTCGAAAAAGCGAGCCCAGTCGGGTTAAAACGAGCCAGAGACTCTATCGAGTGCCCTCAGCAAAGACTTGAAGACTTGGGTGCAGAAATATGGGCAATAAATTCTGCTTGGAGCGGAGCAGGCGCTCCACTCACTCGAGTGTCCTACCCAATGCAAAGGGAACAGCCGACAAACCCAGTCCAAGCCTTGGATTGGGTTGGATTATATTGAGGGCACTACACTAGGCTAAATCCAGTTAGAGCTACTAGATTAGGGAAATGGGAAAGCCGCAGACCCCGATACAATCCAAGCCGAAAGTATCGAAAAGTGTCCATTTGGCGTCCATGCTGCCATTCGGTTATTAACAAGGCTTGTGTGGTTGAGCGTCGTGTTTTCTTGTTTCTGGAAGTGGCCTCTTCACTGACTATGTCTGCAGCAAGAAAGGGCTCATTTAATCCGGACTGGACGAACCCGAATATTTTTGAATATGAAAGTTGGATTGATCCCGTGCAAAATGATCCTCAGTGCTCAATGCTCAATACCTTGTGTTGTAATGGTCCTATATATTTAATCGTGTCTACAGTGGGCAGGGGATTTCACCTGAATTTGTCAGGGAAAACCTGAAAAGTGAGGGAATTTCAAAAAAATAATTTGCTAGACACCCTCTATTCAATACTTCCCAGCACTTGTAGTACGAACCTAGTTTATTATGTTCCAGCATAGTGAAACTCTGCAAATAAAACCGCTATAGTTCTAAAAAAAAAACCTCGATGTCTGCACCTGTGCACGCGATTTTGCATTTAGGGAATGAGGTTTCGTACGTGTACTCGCGGTCGTACACATACGGCGGTGACCTTGCGGGGCGGCTTCTTTGCTGCGGTAATCATACTGAAATGTCCCTCGAATGGTTACAGCGTTGTTATGGAAGAGCTCGAGAGTCTAGCTTTTGTCATGTTGAAGCTCTTGGCCGCATTGAAGCCCTTGGCCACAGTCCCATCGCTCATGCACGATACGAAAGACACTGTTTACTGCAGACATTACGTCAAATTATCTGCAAGCACGCCTTGGGCATGTTTGAAGCACCTTTGCTTCACACATTTGTGTGCTTTGAACGTGTCTGCAGACGGTTTTTGTATGGTCTGCGTGACGAGACAGTCTTACAAGGAAGAAACGTGCCTCGACTATGTTAGCAATTAGCAGTGTAACCGCAACTCTAGGGCTTCTGCGGCATGTTATGGCCGACAAGTTGAAGCTCACTTTCGTTGCGCCCCCAGGTGGCCTCTCGGGAAAACCGGCGGCGTCAGTTTACGCGCCTCTCCGAAAGGTCGTCCGGCGTGGGAGGATATTCGACGGGGCGTGAGCACCTCTTCCACGAGCACGTGAGTAACCCTGCCACTCCTTTTCTTTGTTTTCTTTAATGGGACATGACTTTTCAATCTATGCAGGAAAGAAAAATTAATTGGAACAATTGGGGATCTTTTTTTAGAGCATAGATACTTAAACTGGGTTCCGGAAACCCAGGAGGGATTTTTTGAGTGCCCCTGTGGGTTCTCCAGAGTGTCCCTGTAAGTTTGAATTCCAGCCGGGGCGGTTGCGCTTTGAAAGCTTCCCCCAATAGTTGAAATTGGGGTGCCTTCATGTGCGCTTTGCATAGAGTGATGCCAGCTGCCTGTTTCTCTTTTCTCTTTCCCACACCCTCTTCCACCGCCATTTTGTTCCTCTCATTGTTCCCCCGTGCGCCAGAAAGTGGCCTTTGTGTCCATCGGTCCCCCCATCTGGGGGGGAAAATGCTAATCCTCCCTCCGTGGGTTCCACAACGCTGCTCCGAACTTGTGAGATAAGGTGCTTCTTTCCGAGAGGGTTATAAGCCCCACGGATTATCGCCGAGAACCAAAATGGCTGCTGGTTTGTCGGCAACTGGTATTACAAAGGGTGGCATAACCCTAGCAAAGCCAGTGATGTGATTGCTGCGCCAATTGTGCCAAACTGCGCCAAGGGGCTAACCCTGCTACATCCTGCTACATTTCGCCGAAATATGGGTAATCTGCACCAAGCCTGCGCCAAAGGACCAACTTCGGTCGCCTTTCAAAACCGAAACTAAACTGAGTACCGTAATTGAGCATGCGTGAGCTAGGTGGCGCAAGCGACCGCCCGACAGAAAGTAGGCTGTATCAATCGTCCATCCGGTCTAGCATGGTTTTTCCCGCCGTTCCTCATTTCGCGCTCTCGTGGGTCTCGTCTCGCATCCTCTTGAAAATATTTTAACGATAGATGCAAGCGTACCAGCCATGCTGTCATGTTGTAAAACGAAACCACGTTTTTGCGCATTGGGAGTTACTTGTGATCTGAAGCACCCGCTTCTGAAAGAAACGGCCGTGGCAAAACTATCTTTGGTCCCTGCCTACCAGTCGCCGTGGTTATGACGTCGGGTGTTCCCGTCCACACATTGCTGCAGATATGGCGCTTTCTAAAATGAAACGTAAGGACCGCTGCAGGGTAATCAGCAATCTTATCCTTGTTTAAATTAAACGGTATTACATAAATCCCTCTAGCTCAAAGACTGATGTGTCAAAGTACTGTTTACCTAGGTTTTCTCGGTCGGATTTCTTTTGAGAGGGACACCGGTACGTGAAAAGTCTGTCGCAAAAGAAAGTTTAAGGCAAGTTAGCTAAAGCAACAGAAGGCAATGCCTGCACGCTGAACCCGCACAGCGCGCTTGTTTATCTTGAGTTCAGTTGTTGCACAAAGTGCTCCAAGAACTTTTTTGACCCAGACTCGCGATGTCTTGCATTGATGCGCTTTTTATTTTATTTTATTAGCTTTATTGTCCTCGTTTTGTTTGCGCTTTTTAACCTTTTAACTTAGCTTGTGCCTCGCATACTGGCCTGGCAAGCACGCGCCGCTGGACTGTTTTTCTTTTTTTTTTTATTCTGGATTGTTACATTTTGCATACAATTTTGGGGACCAGATGGCGACGGAGTGGCAGTTTCGCTTTCGATCGAACAGCCGTCTCCGCTCGCATAACGAAGCGCGTGCAACTGCAAGCTGCCGAAGTTGCCCTCACGTGCATGATTGCACGACCGAGGTACCAGCCGGGACGCTTGTAATCCATTGCTTTAAATTTGCTTGCTTCTGACGAAAATCTGGCATGTCGGGGAACCAGTAAAACGGTGGGAGACGTTTTGGAATTGCTCGGCAACGCCTACAGCACTGTACACTTGTGGGATGTCTCAACGTCTCTTTGGAGACATTGAAAGTGGACATTCATTACTTGCCCAAAGCTAAGCGAGGCGTGCAGCAGCCTTGCAGAAAGTTTCAACTAGCAAAAGGAAAAGCACCCACCAGTGGCACTGCACCTTTTTCATGTGTACAGTTTCATGTGCAGTAGTTACGTGTTTCATCAGTTGGATACTGCTTCAATTTATTATATTATATAACCAGTGAAGTTTATGCTTTCATATTTACTGCTAAGCTGGTCATTTTCAGATAAATTTAGTGTGTGCAATTTGGTTCTTATTTATCTATAGCGGGTACCTGTATATACGTCATTTAACTGAAGCATTGTAAAAAAATGTTGTCATTGCCATTTCAGTTAACAACTTGAAAGACTCCCAGGTCTAACTTGACCATATTTTGATTATTGTGGCGAGCAAAGTGCCTTCCTTTGTCCAGCACTTGGAACAAATATGTTTTTTTATTTTTATAAAAAAAATCTGCACCGAAAACCACTTTTTGCTGCTCCGAAACACTGTTTTGGCTGCTCCAAAAGCCACTTTTGCTGCTCCAAAACACTGTTCTGGCTGCTCCAAAACGGCTTAGGCCAATCACATCACTGAAAGCGCACATGAAGGCTTTCTAGTTGTAATTAGCCCTCGGTTCTCTGCAGGGGCGTGCCAGATGCCCTTTGTTGGTTCGGCACGTGGAAGCGCCCCAATTTGTTATTCTCCATTTTAAGACTTGTTTTAGCAGACCCGAGCAACTGATTGACGCACGACAATGAAATGGACACTCCCTCATATACGTATTGTGTACACTGTAGGCTTGTTCACTGCTTCATCGCATTAAAGGGACACTAAATCATGTTATGAGGCCTCAATCTATGGGCTCTTAAGCGTCGTAAGAAACCAAACTTCACATTCATGCATTGTGATTTCTCTATTGAAATCGGTATTAAAGGTTGATTACCCCGGAACTATCGCCAACACTAGAGGCCGCCGTCGGACAAGAGCTTCTTTTCCTTTGACTGTGCCATCGGGTGTCTGTAATAGTTACAAAGTAATCGACCTTCGATACCGAATTTATTTTAAAAATAAAAATTACATTTATGTTTAGCAGATTTTTTTTAAAGTATGTTTAGTGTTTGTAGATGGAGTTGGCACCATAGACTACCGTAGAAAGTGGTTTAGCGCCCCTTTAATGCCAGAACCAAGAGGGGTTCCTCAAGTTTGGAATGTTTGATAAGCCCAGTTTCGAAGGAATGAACCATCACCACCTACAGTGTTCAAAGACCGTGTGCTAGCATTTCGACGTCGCAGCGAGCTATTGCTCGGATCCTGTTGCCAAGCGGGCGCTATCCGTGCGCGACAACTCTGTGCAGTTAATCAAAGGAGGCTGTTGGCAGGCTTTGATTATTTTGGTTTGTGCTGGCTAAACTGGCATTTCGGTCTCTGCAGCAGCGAACTTGCACGCCTCTGGCGGTTAAGAGCATTCTAGTCTACCCAACGCCGGACAGGGCTCTTTTCTCCTCGTCAACTTTCATCAATTGGAAGTTTGTATCGTTTGGACTGTTACAGCAGCCCCCTCAAAATTCGGATTAACGAGCTTTCACTGTAATAAACTGATCTCGCCGGACGGTATGACTTCACAGCATCGAGTGAACTTTGCCAGCACAAACGACAGCTTCGCCGGAACTTTGCACATGCGCAGCGTCGATGGCACGAGCCCTCTACTGCACTGCCGTCTGCGTCGCAAACTAACGGCATCGCGCATGTGCCGAACGCTTGGCAAGGTCGGTCTGCTACGGTTGTTGTCCTTGCTGTGAAAACTCATTGGTGTTGCAAAGACTCGTTGCACGCCGCAAAATTAACGAACTTTGTAGGGCCTGTTATACCGAACTGTGGTCACCAAACCTGGGTTAGCTGCATTGTTACTGGCACCTGGTGGAGATGCTTCATTTTTCGCTTTAAGATTATGTTTTTGCAAAAGCTTTGAATATAAATAAGCCACATTCTGCATTCTTGGGCTGTGGGGGGGGCCTCAGTGTTGTTGCAGTGATGTAGGACACAGTGCATTGCAAGATGTTTTAAACTTTTTTGATCGCTCTAATGAGCATGAAAGCGTGCATTTCTTGACAGTGGGTGTTACTTTGGCCCATGTTCTGCTGGCGTTTTGCCTCCGGTTATATACTGCTACCATCCCAAACATACCAAAAAAAACTAGTCATGGCAGTCTGTCGTAAAAAAGTCTGCGAGAGATTTTTTTTTTTTTTCACACCATGACGCTTGCCTTTTTTCTGTCTTTGCAGGATCCCAATGACCCCAACCGCTGCTCTGTGATGTAAAGACAAGAAGAAAAAAAAAAAAAAGAAAAAACGAAGTCATTTTAGAGTGGCGGAAACTTAGTGCCATTTATTTTATTGGTTATATTCCTTGTCTTTTTCTGTACTTCCCTCTTGACCGATATTTTTCTGCCTGCAATTTTTCATCCTTTTTTGCTTATTCGGACATCAAAATTTCAAGACATCGGCGTTGTCCCAAACCTATTTTGCTGCCGCATTTTTTGCCGGCATATTTTTTTCGTCATCTTCGTCTTTGCATTTATCATAGGCAGAAATAAAAAAAAAAATGGCTTAACATGTCACCACATCACCTGTCCAAAGCATTTTTTGTAACTTGTTAACTTAGTCTTCTAACCCCTTTGTGTGTGTGCTTTTGTTGCTGTCAATTCATGACATATGTAATCTAAATCCTGTTACATTAAAGTGCCTGTCTTGTTCGTAGTGTAGTGCTTGTTCGTTTAGTTTTGTGGACAGGGGAACCATGATTACTTGCAGCAAACCTTGCGTGGTGTTTGGAATGGTTTTTCCAAACTTTTTTTTTCTGTGTTTGAGATCAAACCTTCAGTTTTTAAGCCTTTATCGCTTTAGAAAAAGGGTGTAGTTGCAACATCACTGTAGTAGGTTTCGGGAGGACATCATTCTGCAGCCCTGGCAGCAGTTTCTGAAGCTCTGGTTTCGATAAGAATTGTTGGCCTGTTTTTTTTTAGGCAAGCCGACCCCGGTGTGTTGCAATTGTAAGCGCAGGTCGTACCAAGATCAACATAAGTACCTTGTGAACCATATTTCTTAGTTTGCCAACTGTACCTGTGAAGTGCTTTTTACCAGAAAAGCAGGTGTATTTTTATGTGTGCGACGGGGTTTATCTGTTCTACGGTACACGCGACTTTGTCCTGAAGTTTATTCGAATGCTGACTTTTTTTCCACAATTTTGTTTGGACTTATTGTGTGCTACATCGGAGTACCATATTTATGCTTGGTTTTTAAACTGCCCAGATGAAATTGCTGCATTTGGACAGTTTAGTGGTTGCACTGGTTGTTGAATGATGTATGCTAATCAAAAACGTTGCAAGCAAGGCTAATCTGTTGTTTGGGGTTAGTCTTTAGATTTTCTTTGTCAAGAGAATATGGATCTTGTCAATCATTTCCCTCCACTCGCGATTTTAGCAGTTGCAGTGTTCTCAGGTGTGCACACTTGTATGCAGTCGTTGATGTTAATAATTGCCAAGGTAATTGCACTGCTAACACAAATACCATTTCACCTCCTCCGCGATCATGGCAGTGAGTTTAGGTCCTAACTATTTTTTTGTCAGTTTCTGGTTACACTCTGTGTGAACTGCTCGATGTTCTGCCCGCTAGATTTTTCTACAAGCTTCTTAATACAACGTAACTGTCGAAGTCCTTCAACAGAACCCTTTTTCGACTGTTGGACATAGAGCCCCGTTTAGTTTCTCTGTTTGAAATGGAATGTGCAGAGTTTTTTCGCTCCTTTCCATCTTGGGGTGGACCACAGCAGGTGCTACGAGCCATCGGAGCAAATCCAGTGCTGGATTGGCTGGGATTTCTCGTAGCATGCACTGCAATCCATGACAAGAGAAACAAGGTGTCGAGTAAGAGCTCATCACTTGTATTGGGTTTGTCTTTAGTTGTGTAGCCTCTGCAAGCGCTTCTTTCCTTTGTCTTGGATCCCAGTGGAAGTGTTCGCTACTTCCAAACTCATTTGTGTCAAAATGTGTTTCTTGTATTTTTCGTATTTTTTTTTGTGGGTAGCGTTTCTTTTAATGGAAAGCTAAACCTATGGTGCCAGTTTTCACTGCCATGCCTCACCTTAGCATGCACTTGAGTCTTATTTAACCGTGCATGGACCCGCTACATCGCGTTGCTTATATTATCAGAGTTTCCCAGAGTATCAAATATTTTTAGTCTCACAAGATGTGTTTGCGCTCCTAAAAAAAAAAAGTGCCTAGCCTTCACGTGTCCCCGTCCGACGTTGACCTCGCTTTTGTTCAAAGTGTTACTTTTTCGGGGCACCTCTTTCAAAAGTATCATGCTGGTATGTGACCCTTGCAAATTATTCGGCGGTCTCGATCAGCCGCCCTTCATTTTTACTGTACAGATTCGCAATTAAAAGTTTGTTCATTCGTACCTTGTCTTTGTCACTTTTTGCGGCCGACCTGCTCTGCCTCAAGAGTGTCCCGGTGTTTGCTGTGTTACTGTTGGACGAAGGTCTCTGCCAAGTGCTTATCTCCGTTCATTGTGTTGCATTTCGCCAAAAACGTGATGTAGCTCGGAACATGTTGTAAACTTGCACTTTGGAACCCGGGGACCGTGGGTCCAATCCCCTTCCCTGCCCGTTTCCGTTTGGATGAGCTTGGTACCGGCGTGCGGTCGTGTATCACCACTGTATGTTGCACACTGAACATCCCAGGCTAGCAGTGGTACTTCACTGGATAAATTTCTCTCCTAAAGCAGAGCAGATGCCCACTGAGGCTGACTTAACATAATTTTTCAAAATGTGAGAACACGGATTTCTTTCTTAATTGTAATACCAATGACTTTTTCAGGACCTTGTCAGACCTCTTCCTTTCATGTTACAGTAGGCCTGTTCGAATCTTTATGAGCTCGATACTGCTTCGAATAGCGTACTATCAAATTTGATCATTGCATAAAACATTGACGGTACTTGTCAGTTGAGCTTCGAACTGTGCGGAGGAAAATCGCCCATGACTGTAAACATTACAATCTCTCTTAGCCGCAGCACACTTGAGTGCTTGGGAAGAAGCAACCTTCTAGAGAGGGACTGTGCTTGCACATTTGCCTCTACCCTTTGGTAAACTTTTACAAGAAAAATTTCTTTGGTATTGTAAATTGCGATACTCTGGCAAGTCATCTGCATTGGTGGTTGTGATTTGTTTCTCAAGCCATGCCTTTTAAAGGCAGCTTAGTTAATTTTTAATCCTTTATTTCAGAATTTACTAGATTATGATCAGCTTTCGAAAGCAGTCCTTTGCGGGAAAGCTTCGTAATGGCAGGAGTCTCCCGAACACGGAACACCGTTTTAGATAAGTGATAAACGAATGGTGCATAGGAAAGGTTCAATCTCCGATAGTTTCAAGATACCGCAACAAATATTTTGGTATTTTGAAACCTCTCAATTTCGTGGTGCACTTCTACTACGAAGTGACTTACAACCAGGGTGTAAGATAGGCAAGTGGGGAAACAACAGCCAAATGAGCGATCAATCTTCCCTTGGTTTTATTCCTAGGTCGCCTAGGTTTTCTCTTTCTGTGGCGCCATCTATGTGGAGCACCACGAACTGTTCCTCCAGGTGGGCGACTGGCTAAACTGACGGAAAGGGGTTTCTCGTGGATTTTCAATGGACTGTTGTGCCGTTGGCTTATTTTGCGTGCTTCGGAGGATCCACAGCAGTTTATTCATACAAATGATTGCTTTTCCGCGCAATTTTTTTTACACTGGCAATGTCAGTAGTTTATTTTAGGGGTTACATTTTACAGCGTATGTATATTGCCATATGTCTGTCGTCGTGTGCGTTATTTTGTTTACATGCCACTACTAGACGCTCGTTTCATGGCATGTAAACAGCGTCTCGGTAAGGATCACGGCCCGGGGGAAAAGCACGAGCCCCGATGCCTCCCCGTAGTCTACGCCTATGCTCTCTCCCCTCTTAGTTCACAATGTTACTACAGTTGCACTTGTCAATCTTATCTCACTCCCCATATATATATGTGCACGCATGATTACAGAAAAATATCAAAAACATGATTTAAAAAATCATACACTTTTAATAAATATCAATTTATTTAAAAGTGTCTGAGGGCCCGTTATAGGTACAAACCAGCAAACGGGCTTTTTATTAAAAGAAAAAAAGAACACTGGCTTTGCTGGTCCGAAGCCGGGCAGGTTGCAACCCGTACGTAGTTAAATCGACAAATTCGAAAACGAAAAATCGTAAATGCTGAAAAAAAAAACGAATGGAATAAAGTATGCAATAATCAAACGTGTTTTCCTTGCGAATTAGTTTGCATTTAGAAAAGAAAGGTTCTGAATGATAGATATACGGGACATTTCCAATATAACGTAACATTTTCTTTTGAAGAAGTAAGCTGCTATTTAAGTTTGTTTTTGTAGTCGCTGCCCAAAGCAGATGGCAGTTACCAGGTGTAGTATTCTGAGTTTAGCGGTCGTGCGGGCACGAATTCTGAACGAGAGAAGCATGTGCCCAACTCGCAGTGGCGCGTGCTCAGCCAATAGCTCAGCTCGTGCGTGCAAGCATCGCTTTGGAACAGTTCACCCTGGGATTTGGATGAAACAAGACAGTCACCGGTGTCCTTCCTCACCTTCGACGGGGCCCGCAAGGACGTGGGCCTCCGCCGTTATTGGGTCGCCTTCCCGGATGAACCTGACTTCTACTACCCGGCCACGACGACGCCTGAAGCAGCGGCTGCCGCTCCTTTCTCAACATCGACAAGGCAAGACATCGCCACCACTGGCATTCAAGGCCATCCACGCAGCCCTGCGCCGGTACCCGCCTCCAAGAATACAATACCAGGGCATAATAATAACGGGGCTCAATAAAAGGCTGCGGCACCAACAACCAAACCAACTGTTCGAAAAAGCTTTTCAATTTAACACTCGATATGAAAGGAATGTCATGGAACATGTCATAGAACATTGAATGGCTGGGAATAGCCAGGCTTTACATTTATTATCTCCAAATTCAAAACTGCTATTCAGAAAACGGCATTAAAGTTTCACGCTCTGGTTAGGAGGTGTGACTTGTAGTCATGTGGAACAGATTTTTTGGCAAATAAGTGAAACTGACCTTTCTTTTGCCTATCGGAGGTGTCATGTTTCACTCCTACTTTTTGCCCTTTTTCGCTAGTGCAGTGTAAATTTTTGGGCCACTCTCAGAATAGGGATTATTTATGGTCAATAATTTTATTGCCATTATTTATCTTTACTTTTGTTTTAAGTATTGTCAAAGGGTGTCCGTTTGACAATATTTGTCAAAGTTTGACCAGCTCTTCCGTGTGACCTATTTGAGATAACGTAACATATTTAGTATTTACAGAAAGCTAAGAGTATATACTCTTTCTATTGATAACAAATTCAATGTTGTGTGTAGAAGAAAAAGGGCAGGGTATTCTCATAAAGTTTTGAATTTACGTCAAAAGTCCCAGGAGATGTAGTCTCGATCTGGACATTATCACACTGGCAACAGTCGTTGGTAGTGCTTTGTGAACCCACTCAAAAACGTGTTTCACGGCGTGTCCACAGGTACCGAGGCCAGTCAGACTGAACGGGTCGGGCGGCTCAGGCGGCTCAAGCGGCTCGGAGCCGTATGTGGGGAGAGTCTGACCAGTAGGTGTGGCGACGAAGGCGCTGGAGAGGAGAAAAGTGAAGGAACGGGAGGAGAGCGCCAAAGGGGAGCGAGAGAGAAGGAAGAAAACAAAGAGGAGACGACTGCCATTTTGACGCAACGCTGTCGACGTGCCGAACACTGTTGAGACTATGCGTCGTCTGCTACGGGCTTATTTCTTTTTCACTTGAATAAAAGTTTGCGTTCAAACATGGAGAAACTTTATTCGTTAGCTCTTTAAGCCACCAAGGAATAACACTATATGATTTTCTTGCCAGAGCCTGCCAATTAAAATAAAAAGAGAAAACCGAAATTTTGATGTCGATCCCACGCATTCTGCTATGAATTCCACCGGGCGAATAAATAATCATGGCGGCCCTCTCCACTGAGCTGGGAGCAGCCGGGAGTTCATGCGCATGAGCTCGCACCTCTCGCTCAACGCCGCAAGCTGACTGGCTCACTCGGGACTGGGGCCAAACTCTCCCCATATAAGGCTCTGAGGCGGCTGAAATACAAGCGCCGCTATGCGGCAGCAAATGGCAGCGCGTCAATTTTGTCTCGGAGCTTGTCAACTTGTCCGATCTTTGCTCCAGGCACCATGCCGGGACGCGTACTGCAGTCAAATATTTTCACAACCATGAAAGCTTCATCCAACAATAAAAAAAGTGTTAGTTACGCCTGGAAATAACTTTTTTTTGTGTAAATCCCTCTTGAATCAGGTTAAACATTACATTGGAAGTAACGGTACCTGCATCTCAACTCATCAATGTCTTGCATTGCCAGTAAGTATCCAAGCTGCAAAAGTTACTCCAGAAATGTTTTAATAGCTACGCTTTCGGAGCTATGAGTACATTTCTGGAGTAACTTACAGCCCGGATACTTACTGGGGATGTGAAAAATTTGTGTGTCGGTACGGTCAATTTTGTGGTCTGAACTTCTCAATGTTCCCTCTTCAATTTTAGAGACTGCACAAACTAAGCGGAAGTCGGCCCCTATCTTGATGTCAGATGTTCTTGCACATACTTGGAATACAAAAGTGCTACTTCGAGTGGTCCGTTGTCACATGTAGTAGCACAGCCTTTTGACTGAAATAAAGCTCCCTAGTAGCACCATATGTTGTCATAACGTAACTGGAATGTCACAAATGTAATGTAACGTTGGGGCACATTTGGGTATGTTATAGCAATGTTTGAAAACTAACGTAACAGAAACGTTCTCCTGTAACATTGTTTGAATGTCACTGAACGTCATGTAACGTTACATCACATAGGCAAACGTTCCAGGAATGTTAGAGAAGCAACATTGGAGCAACGTTTAGAAATAACCTCTTGGTAACATTTCCATCCTGACATACGGGCAATGTTATGCAGCGATGTTGGCCTAATGTGACGCATCACCACATCACACAGAGGCTGGTCAAGGATACACGAAGATACCAAACTTATAATAGTTCAATGTTGATTCTCTTGTTCAAACATTTTTATTTTTTTACAAACAGAAAGACCGCTCTAATGCTTGTGACGGGCGTGTTTGAAACAAATGTTCAAAATGTACCCTGGAAAGATTGCAGAAAATTAAAAAAATATCTGTCCAAAAGGTTTATGATAAAATTGAATTCATTTGTGTGTATGGCATTTCCTTGCTTCCAATATTCACGAGCTAGCATGCACCCTCATCATAGCTTTTAGGTTAAGGTCATTCGAATGTCCAGCTTTTGGAACGCATGCTAAAGATAACAAGAGGGTGAAGTCATGGGGTGTTATTG